ATTTAGCCCCTAGATTCATCAAATTACCTGGAACTTAAAATGTGTAATATGTCTTTAATTCTGACTATTTAACATGAATAACATAGTGCATATTTTACTCTGACTATGAATCTAACATGTTTTTAAAATGAAACAAATCTAACAAAGAAAAATACTTTGGTACTCCTCCTTTTAAAAAAAGGTAAACATGGTTTTGAATTATGAACAGTCATTTAGATCTGTAATGATAAAGCATGTTACAGCTGTAAACGTGACTCTTGATTAAAAAAAAGACCTTTTTAGGATCTGTAGCTGTGTATTAGCAACTTCAAGAATGGAGAGAATACCTCACGTAAAACACTCAACTATACTGCAAAAGTAAACAAGCAAAGAGTGCAGATTTTCTAACAACCAAAGAAAAGTGGATGGAAACTGATTATAGATTAACAGGAACCTTGGAGTTAAGAAGAGGACCCCGACCGAACCTAAAAGAGAAGATAACACGTTTTATTCTTTATGCCGTGGCAATGGACAACAGCTTGAGCAGTGGTAAACAGCCATGCCACATAGGTGACTGCTGCTGTTGTGTCTGAACATAAAGTTTATCCATTAAGACATTTTCTAAAATAATTTTAAAGAAGCAGGCTAAATACAATATAGGATGTTATGGTAATCCATTTTTATTGGAGGAAAACTGTTGCAGTTTTAGACCAAATTTACCAACGGGGGAAGGGGTTGGCACTGTTTTTTTATGGCACAGAATAAAGTAATGAAACTAAGTTGCAAAGCAATATTTCTTTGTTTGATATATTAAAAGGGCCAAAGACATACTTGCAGTTCTGGAACTGCAGGTTGTAAATCCATGATCAATGAGGAGACAAATTGGACACAAAAAAATGTTTCGGGCAGTATATCGTGATTTTTGGCTGCCTGATATAATATCAATCTTTTAGCTCCTAGTATCGATTTTTAAGCATAACATTTTTACCTAAAACTGAGGGAAAAGTGGGCTACCTCTGCACCACCAGTCTGGCAGATAGCGCTGTGGAGCCCTTTTGCTATGCTGCGCAGCGCAATATCTGTAGTTGAGGCAGTCACAGTGAAAGAAGTGAACTGACTCAAACCCCAAGCAACATGGACACCAAAATAACTGAAGGATCAACATCATCTGATAAACATATACAGAGGTTGCTTTTTTATCTTTTCCTTTATTTTAATAGCAGGAAAAAATATCGCAATACAGTGATACTATCGTATCTTGACCCAAGTATCGTCACATATCGCAACACCCATGTCAATACTCACCACTAAGTCTAACCCATCCCCAATATGTGTTGCAGATTATTTATGGGGGAAAAGACCTATTTTGCTTTCTCTTTCTCAATTCATATGATGAAATGAAACAATTATAAGTTTTACACAAGTTGCAATTACAACAAAAACAATCATTTATCAACAAATCAAAGAAAACAATAATGGATGGTAAGTGGAGGGAGCTGCAGTGCATATACCTTGCTTGATCTCATGGCATGACTGCTGAATTCACTAATAAATGAGCAAATACTTTGGCACTTACTGATACAGGAAAAACAGGGGCCAGAACAGTCTCTGGTTGTACAAGAGCCTTAGCCCCTGGAGGCCTCTGTCTAGAACCGCCCATGGTAGGACCTTACCAAAGAATGGCTGTGCATGTTAGAGTCCATGAATAGTGCCAGTATTATAGTGTTTCAAATCAGTTTTTATCACATTATAATTTTCCACTTTAGTGTTTATAAGAAGGGGTTGAGGAGACTGACTCAGGAGGAAGCTTGGATCCTTCAGTGATGTCAGCAAGATGTTGCATACCTTCAACAAGTCTGATGTAGAGAGTCTGCTCTCTTTTTCCATCATCTATAAGGATAGCAGCATCAGATTAGTTGACTTAAAGCTCATCAAGCTCATAAAGAAGAACATGTTCTGGGGACTCAAGATTCAGAGTGTAGAAGAAACACATTTAACTTGCAGAAACTATAGTTTTAAGATTAACAAAGTATTGAATTTGGTATTAGAATTTAATTGAATTACAGTGTTTTTTGTTAGACCATTAAACCCCCTGCAAAGGATACCCACATTTTAAGCCATCCAAACTATTCTTCTCAATTTTAGCTTGACACTTGGCCATTATTTCTTATTACACTTGGTCAAGTCTCCTAACTTGAATAAAGGCGCTATATAAGTACATGCCATTTACCATTTACCATTTATTTATATGTACTTGGACAAAGGTTATTTTATGAACGGATTCCAAGGTTAGGCGTTCTGAGCATAACATCAACACTCTTCTAAACTTTTGTTCTCAGCAGCTATGTGCTCTTTTCCTTCACTCTCTCTTTTGTAACTGAGAATTAAATTGATTATTTTTAGCTGCAAGCCTGGAAGTAACAGTTGTGAAAATTATATGTGTCCTAGGATGTGAGCTGTAGTTTCCCTGCCCCTTGAATGACCCCGAAGACCAACACAACTAAAATACACGTTAGCACTAAAATCTTGAATAGACACTTGAGTCTTTCAGAGCACAAATAGATAAATGACACAGAGAATGTGTCAAATAAATTAGTCTCATAAAGAAAACCATCACACTTGATAGTACACTCATAAACCAATATTAAAATTGAAGAAAGACAAGAGCAGACTGTTTTGTTTAATTGTCCCACACAACACATTTTTCCACAAATGTGACAGACAAAAACAGTCTGAGCACCATCTGAATGCTGCCTGCTGCCTTGTGGGGGATTTCTCCAAGTTAGCATGATGCAAAATGCCTTGAATCTCGATTCTTTCCTACATTAGGTGAAGAAACCGCTGTCATCAGTATTAAATCTCACACCAATGTTGAGCTTAACTTATTCATGGATGCCACTTAATAGCATAATGTCTGAGTGTAGATAACACTGCCCTGGGGGTCGAGTAACTGAAATTAGGTTACACACAACTTATATGAACTCATGCTGGCACTAGTTAAGATATTTTTTTCTTTAAAATATTTTAAATATGGGATAAACATACTGATGTTACCACATATGACATGGCGGTGAATTTAAATGTAATCCAAAAGTCCACTGTCTGACAAATAACTTACATTTTTAAAGCTTATACTTATTTTTTTATATATATACATATATATGTATAAATATATAGACAATCTGTAAAAGGTAACTGGAAGGGAGGCTTTTTTCTACAAAAAGTCTTGGACCAGGCGACCGGTGCAATTATTCTCACTAAACCAACTCCTTGACCAGTGCTTTGTTTCTGTGTTTTCATCATGCCATTAGAACACACAGCTGTGATAGCAATCCTAATGAGGTGGGCTCTGCAAGAGTGATTCCTGTCCACTGTCACCCTTTGCTTCCAGGATGAAATAATGTTGCATAATCCGTTCTTAAACATATACAGAAGGGACTTTATTGACGGATTCATAGCATCAAATAAATTAACTTTTAACCACATTTACTGCTTGTAAGGGCTTTGAATTGAATTGCTTGCAACATAATAAAAAGATTATTACTGGAGTTTATTGAATGAATGTTGAACTAGATTTGGTTGTCTTTAATTTTGCCTTTTAATATTTGTTTCATGAGAATTATTACAGATATTTGTGTATCAAAATAAAATAAAAAAGTGTGGAAGAACAGATCAGGTGTTTAGAGGTAAGTGTTTTAAGTTGCTTGATAACATGGAAAAATATTCACCATCTTCATAATTTAAATTATAGGGATTTTTTAAAACCAATACATTTTGTATATAAACTGATTTCTCAGTTGATGCTGGCTTTTCAGAGACAACGTCAGATCTTTGAAGTGATGCAAGAAAAAAAGGATTTTGGAAAAAAAAAAGTCAAGCACTTTATTTACAATTTAGCGTGCGCTTCTTTCTTCCACAGCCTCATTCATCCAGATCTAAAGGAAAGTCAAAACAGAGCAAACTGATGAAGACATGACTGCTCCCCCCTCCCATATGCTCTTGACGGCTTTACATCTAAAGAGCTGCTCATAAACCTACAGTTTCCTTTCCCCCAAAATGGGATGTTTTGTTCAAGATATAATTTGCTATACTGAACAGGGGAGAATGCTGCACAGGGCTGGAATCTAAATGTCTAAAATCTTCAGAGAAAAGCTGGAAGGACTGCAGAGAACATAAATAATATGTAGCTGGCGTGCAGAACGCGCTGTTACAGAGCAATGCAATGAGTCTCCCCGCTGCCAAGCCCGCTTTTTTATGTGATCTGCCCACAGCAAATACATCCTGTCAATAGGATATTGGAGCGATCGGGCAATTATTATATTTCCCCAGCAACATGCTCATTTCGGGTTGTTAATGATGCTGTCTCGGTGCCGCTGTATGTGGAAAGGGTGGGATTGGCGCACGGGGAGTCGACTGACAAAACCTCTTTTCTCACACAATCACATGCACGGACGATAAAAGGGGAGGAATATTTATAGATCTTTAAAAAAAAAAAATGATCCGTAACTTTGCTTATTCAGTCCGTGCACGTTCAGAGCCAGGGCCTTCGTGCAGCAGAGAGAACATGCTTCAGGTGTGCGCTACCCGCAGTGATGGTGAGCCAATGCAGCGGCAACACACGCCCCTCCGCTCGGCGCGCGCTGCCAGCCTTGGAGCGCACACACTCACACACACACACACGAACCGACTCCGAACCGATCATCCACGCACACACGCGCGCGCACCCACAAGGAATAACACACAAACAAGTGTGAGCCGCTAAATAAATGAACAGTCTGCCTTCAGCATGCGCTGGATACTTTATGGCGATGGGAACAGCAGCCGTGACACATTTTAATTTTAGGGGGGTTGGGGAGGGGGTGCCGCTGGGTAATATATATATATATATATTTATATTGAGAGAGGAGGACGCCCTTTGAAGCATTAGAAAAAAACCCAGATATGAATGGAATCATATAACATCAAAGACATTTTCTCCTCTTTCGGTGGACACAGCTACAGACTTGCGGTGGTCTACTTACGCACTGCCTCCTTTTTGGGGTCCAGGGCACTGGCTGTCTGCTGGATCTGGCCTATTTTGCTCTGAAGGAACCAGACACGCTTGTTGGTGCTCATGATGTCGTTTTCCAGCTCCTGAAATAAAGAGCAGGCGTGCCGCGCCAGGTCGGACAACTGGCGCAAGGTCCGCGAGAGAACCACATTACTGATGGCACACAGGTCCTCGAAAAGCACACCTTCATCGTTGGGGATCTGGTGTCTGCACAGAAGCTGCGGTTCCACAATCCTTTTGGCGAATGGCATTTTGTTCGCCAAAAATAACAGACACTGCGAGCCAAGTGTAAATCCCCACTGCCTAGAAGAAAAGGGTAAAAACGGGGTAGAGACAACATCCAAATATATAAAATCCACGAGAAGCCCGGTGAGGTTCAGGCCGACGGCGCGTTATCCCCCGGGCGTCAATCCAAACTTCCTAGATTCTCCTTGAGATCCTCCATCCTGCTGCTCGTTTCTGGGGATCACTCACACTCCCGCTCACACTCACGCACACACACGCACACACATGCAGGACACAGCTCAGCCCAGGTCAGCGGTGGAAGGATGCGTGTTGAGTCTGCGATCATGGGTTGCCTCCGTGCAGCGACAATTCAGCCAAAGCGCAAAGGAGGAGACGCTGGTGCATTTCAAAATAAGACACACGTTGCGATAGAGGAGGGCAAAAAGCATGCATGCAGAAAGTGGAAGCGCTATAAAATAAAACAGCTTCAAGAGGAGCATTTCCAACAGATGTATTTTATGCAAAACCATGATTAGATTTTCATCGTTTGGAAAGCGTGTTACTTTTGTTTTGTAGGGCATTTTTTTCCTTTCCGACGATATTCTTGTTATTTTTCAGGTTGGTGAATCAGCTTGTGGCCATCCCTGGCCTGAGGAGTGTTCAGACTGTGGAGATGAGAGCTGACTGAGGAAAAACACGGAGATGTGGATATCCTGGGACAGGGGATGGTCACAAAGTTACAGTAATCCTGTAAGCGCACAATGATGGCGATGGGTTTAATTACCTTTGATCATAAATTCTGGATTTGTTTATTAAAAAATAAAGGTGTTGAAAGTCCTCAGAGGGATTAATTGAGAGACATAGACTGAATTAGATGTTGGAGATCAGCCTGGTTTTCCAGTGTAGCCCTGTTTCTCTGACTGTGACTGGTCTAATGTGCTTTCTTAGTCCTCTGACATGGAAGCCGACTCGGAGCTCATGTGCCTGGCTGTGTGTTTCCTGGACGGCCGCCTTTTACAGCTGTTTTTTCTATCTCTGTTTATGTATCCCACTTGGCCTCAGCAGATGGCCGCTCACACTGAGCCTGGTTCTGCTGGAGGTTTCTTCCTGTTAAAAGGGAGTTTTTCCTCTCCACTGTCGCTACAAGCATGCTTAGTGTGAGGAATTGCATTCAAGTCAATGCAATCAACTGGTTTTCCTTAGATAGAAAACTTTGAATCAATTTGACTGTATGATCTGGTGAACTGTAAAGTGCCTCAAGATGACATGTGTTGTGACATGGTGCTATATAAATATATAAATAACTGAATTGAATTAAATATTAAGCATTTGAGTCAATCAAGGACTATACACACACCTGCACTTTATTAGCTAGAAAGTTTTCATTTTATTTTTTACACTAATAGTATATTAACAAGTCACATGGCACAGCTTGATACATCAGTATAAGTTCAAACGTACTGGCTGTCATTCTGGCATCACTATTGAAATAAAGATCTCTCAACATTGTGAGATTGATCTAGTGGAAATTTCAGACACATTTCTCAGCTTAACAAAAGTCAGTCCAAAAAAAGAAAAAGCAAGCAGGGAACATAAAGCTCTCAAACATCTTGTTTATGCAAATATTTAAATGCTATTTCAACATAAGAGAAAGGCTGCAAACACATTTTACTACTTGCTAAATGATCATTGTATAAATTCTAGCGTATGATGTTATTGATAGTGTTAATCTTTTTTATGACCATGGTTCTTCTGATTGCTGCTCCTGAAAGGATAATACACTATGCCACAAAGCTCAAATCTAAACAGGACATTAAGTGCGATCCACTGTTTAACATTTACCAGATCTCAATCTAGTGGAACAGTTGAGGCGTTTTCAAAACATGTGAACAGATAGAAGTCAAAACTTCCAGCAGCTAATCAGTTTTGCTGTTGACAGCTTCCCTGGACAGTGTTTCTAGTAACACAGTAGAAACATCTCTCATTTTCTTACATTATTGATAACTGTCTTTACTTTGCCAAAAATAAGGCTGTAGGAACCATTGTGTGGTGAGATTATGTTGATCATTTTGTAAAATTTCTGTACCCTATGACTTAAACTTGATAAAGCAGAATTGAAAATGCCAAAAAAACAAGGACCTTTACACTGCAATTTATAATTTCATATGATTGTTGCAGATGTAACATGTAAAATGTGAATGAAATGATTCCTTAGACAGATAGAGAAAAATGCCTCTATCATAGTCTAAACTAAAGGTTTAAACATTCACGCAGTTATAGGTTATTGTAGCAATAAAATGTCTTTATTTCCCTATTAAAGCATGTTTGCTTTTCAGTAGAGATGTTACATGTGGAAATGGATTTGAGATTTTTCATTATTGTCTTACTTTTTCTTCCTCAGGAGACATAGTTTAACAAACCTCCCCGTGGCTCCCTCACTATTTCCCCCCCATAACCCCATTCAGACAAAGTCATGCCCATGGCCAAAATCAAAAAGGTTAGAAAATAATCTTAAATGAGTTAATCATGAAAATATGAAAAAACATAATATTGCCCTTTCAAAATCCACCAGGTCAAATTACATATATGATACATCTTTGAAAGCTAACACCTTCTAGTTTCTGGAAATATATATGGAAATAGTGTGACTAAAACACGGCCTGCAGCAGTTAAAACATGACTCTGTCATGACTCTGCACTTTTTGGTTCTGCTGCTCTCTTGTACCAGTCTCCTTTTCCTAGCTCCCTTCTAGACTCCTCTGTCCACACCTGCTCCCAATCTGCTGATTAGCCTGGTCTTTGTTCAGACTCCCATTTACACACCTCATGTTCAGTCTCCTAGTTTTCAGTAATTTTTAATTTTTTATTTTTGCTCTGTTGCCTGTGGAAACATCAAATCTACAAACTCATCTCTACCTCCTCATCTCTGCATTTGGGTCCTCAAAAAAAAAAAAAAAAAAAAAAAAAAAAACCTCCACCCAACCTGACAGACTCAAAGTTATTTTTTTTACTTCTCGTAAATAATAGGTATTTTTTGAATAGCAGTAACAAAGAAATACTTTATAGTAGGCATGTGCCATTATATTACATTGATTCTGCATCATGTCAACCACAGCTGCAGAATATTTCAGACCCATACAGTAGGTATAACAGTGACAGAGCTATGGGATAATGTAAAGTATAAATAAATGTGTGTTCTCAGTTTTTCACACCATAGAAATATGTTTTTATTATTATTATATATGATTAAAAACACAACTAAGCATATAAAATTAGGTCCTAAAAGTAATGAAAATATTTAATTTTATTCCCTCCTGTGGGGGCACTGGGTAAGGACCACTTGGGCCACTGAAACCATGCCTGAGCAGCCCTCTGGTCCCATACCTTCCCTGTACAGGAATTAAATACAAGGAGGGACCTATTTTATGCAACAGCTTTAAAGAAAAAAGCAAAATACTAAATATCAAATTTACATCCTGCCTTTTAATTCAGGGGGAGTCATAGAAGATTTGCATGTGACTCTTGTAATGAGGAAAAAGAGGAGAGTAGCTCACTGGCCTGGGCTGCAGCTGCTGTGTCTGACCACCTTTTGCCTTCTCCTATTTGATAAGTCCAAGATAAGGGATTAAGACCAAATTTTCTGAACGTCTTGGCAAAATACATCTTACTGCTTAAGATGATCTGTGATTCTGACTGCAAATTCGGCAAAGCGACCTGGCTCAGTACATGATTCCCAAAGCTGTTCTTTCGTAGATCCGTTCTAAAAGAGGCATGTCTGTTTAAGTTAAGTGCCAGATATTCTACTTTTATTTATTTATTTATTTTTTTTTGTTTAGAATTAAAATAGGTGAGATGATCAAATAACTTAATATTTTGTTACACAACATTTAGAGGTAATTACTGCATAATCAGCGGGTATTTTTACCCACATCTCATTAGCAAACAGCTCCAGATGCTTTAATGGTTCCTTTTTCAGACAACAGGTTTCAGCTCCTGGATAAGGTGAGATTTTAGTCAGGGCTTATGGAAGACAACTTCAGAATAGAATTGTTTTTAGATATGTGCTTTGTTTATCCTGTTATAAGACTAATGACCTATAAATGAGACCAAGCTTTCTGATACTGGGCAGTACATTTCTCTCTAGAATCACTTGATAGTCTTGAAATTGATGGTACCCTGCAGAGATTCAAGACACCCTGTGCCAAATGAAGCAGCCCCAGAACATAACAGAGGCTCCTTCATGTTCCACAGTAGGGACAGTGTTCTTTTCTTGGTATGCTTCAATGACAGCAGATTAGATAGGGTAGACTGTTCGCTGAGATTTTAAGCAGCTTTCATTTTAAAATTTCCCACCAGATGTTGATGGACTTCAATGAGCAACATCTGGAACTGTTTAATTACTTAGTTACTTTTCCAAAGGGAAATTATTTTCTAGAAACACAGTTTGATTCAACAACCATGGAAACTAGAATAAATGTGCATTCTGAAATAAGAAACATCCACTTAACCATACTGTAAAACAGGGATTAAAATAGAAAAGAAATAAATCCTTAAATTGGTCTCATATATCTGTATTCACAGGAGGACAAGAAATATATTTTTAGAAGATAGAGGTAAGAATGACAACTGACTCCAGTTAATAAACGTTAAACATATCTCTTCTGTTTTGAAAGGTCTAGCGGTGGCGTTAGTACCTTATTTTTTATTGTGTATGTGACCTAAAAAAACTAGCTTGATGTCTGTTTCCTAAGTGAAGGCTGACTTGAGTTCAGTCATTGTGCACAGAGAAAATCTGTAGATTTAAAGTTGGCTCAGGTGTGGTGTAGTGTGTTTGTGGTGTGGCTCAAGAGACCACACTGTACAATTTGAACTGTTCAATCCCCAGATTTCTTTGTGTGGGTTTTCCTAAGACTTTTAAGTTTTGAAATTCGCCTGACAATTTTAAAATTTTACTCTGTGAATAATACTTAAAAAAATACTTCTCTGCTCTGGGAAACATTTTTACTGCAGGGATGATCAGGGAGCTGAGATATGCATATGTGAGACCGATTAGCTGAGTATTTGCAATGTGGGCGAGTGTTCAGCATGTCATTAAAAAATTCAGTTCACTTCAGTTTAATGATATAGCTCCAATTCACAACACATATCATCTCAAGGAATTTGATTATTCAACCAGATCATACAGTCAGATTTGACTGACAGTTTTCTATCCAAGGAAAACCAGTTGAGTGCATCGACTCATCGACTAGATGGCAATCCTTCACACTAGCATGCTTGTAGAGACAGTCAAGAGGAAAACTCCCTTTTAACAGGAAGAAACCTCCAGTAGAATAAGTCTCAGTGTGAGTGGCCATCTGCTAAGACTGACTGTGGTTCAAAGAGACAGAAGCAGACATACAGAAAGATGCAAAGATACAAAATGCAACTGTCAATTAGCTTCACATGCGGTCCGTCCAGGAAACACAAAGCCAGGCAGACGAGCTCCAAGCCAGCTCCCATATCAAAGGAAGAAGAGAGCACATCCAGCCAGTCACATTCAAAGAAACTGGACTATACTGAAAAACAGGCCTAGCTTGAACTTCTATAAACAAAAGTGTTGATGGCAGAAGCACAGCTGATACTTCTCTCCAGGATGGCGTCACAGCCAAACAGGAACAGACCAGATGAAGCTACCATGATGAGAAAAAGAGTATATATATAAAAAGAGAAAGAGTATAACGTTAGAGATCAAAGTAACAGATTCTGCAGAATTGGAGAATAGCAATGGAATGAAGCAGCATGATGAAGAAAGGGGTCCCTATGTCCTCCAGCAATCTAAGCCTATAGCAGCATAACTATAGAGATAGGTCTGGATAACCTGAGCCACTATAACTATAAGCTTATCAAAAAAGAAAGTTTTAAGCCTACCCTTAAAAGTAGTTCTAAAACATATACAGTAATTTTTTATTATAAACAAAACATAATCAAATCTTGATAGTTCATTATAACTCACTTGTTCCATTATACACTAAAATGGTGCAGATTATTATAAACAGTGTTTTCAGATATGCATTCCTTTTTAAATAATTCATTAATATCTACGTTTTTACATATCATAATTGAAATTGACATCAAATTAACCATAAAGAAATTAATATTAAGAAAACATAAAAATCAGATACAAAAGATTAAGAGCCATAAATTCAGAATATTTAAAATATATAATTCTCTAACATCTCAAAAATTGTTAAGCAGTGTTGATAGTAATAAAAAACATATCAAGACAAAAATTTGTCCCTTCTATCGCTGTGTTATGGGTATTCCAAAAATAATTAAAGAATTGTTAAATTTCTTACATACCTCTATCTTTTCTGAAACTAAATAAGAGGAAATTTATACTTTAATAAAACATTTCTATGAAGAAATTTAACATTAAATTAGTTCATTTTGTTTTTGAAACTGCTAACTTGCCAAATAAGTTTACATCCATTAAAAGAAGTTTACTCAACAAAGTTTTTTTTTTTTTTTCTTATGTTGCTGAATGGGGTTTTCCAGAATACTAAGCCTTGCCATTGTCTGATTCATTTGCCTGTAGCCTCTGGGCTTAGCCTGTATATAGACATGTCTGCAGTAAACTTGCAGTTACAGCAGATTTCAGACACTGCAGAGTGACAGGGTCCTGTCATCGGCCTACCTCTGCTGTGCCTAAAAGGCACATGTTTGGCAGCACTTGATTCAGGTGTATCCCAAAAAATAATTAGTACCTGGAGGAGTTCCCAAAACCCCCACATGATTTCAGCAATTCATAAAAGAATAGTTTCATCTTTTTTCAACTCTCGAAATCATTTTTAGGTTTGAATCGATGAACATCACTTTTAAAGATGAAGAAAGAACTAATGGTATATACATGTTTATTAAACAGTAGGTTCTGTTTTCCCTCATAATGTGTATGAAAGTAGAGTAATGCAGTTATAGAGCACCATTACAGTTAAAATTGAAAACAGAGCTGAGAAAATACGTAAACATTTCCCTCAGTTTGGTTGTATTGAATGCCTGGAAAATTATATTTGATACTTTAGACAGTTTTTATGTTTAATACATTTTCTATTTTATCTTTCTACATATAACTAACCAGCTATCCTATACACTAAAGAAATAAAGACGAATAGATAAAAGAGTAATTTGCAAATGTTATGGAATATTCCGAGCAAAGTGGCATATAAAAGAACACCAAAATACTATAAATTGATTCAAAATTTAATGATTATAAAGCACATGCAAGTTGTACAGTAGACATAAAGTATATAAGCGGAGATTAAGCATGCTATAATATTGAAAACTTTACATGTAAAGACTACAGGAACATTAAATATCTTAAACAAAAATTCAGGGGTCAAATAAAGATAATCTCACACATATTGTTTTTCCAGCAACAATGTTCTACACTCCCAACCTTTTCAGTAATTAAATATGCTTTTAAACATGTTTATTGCAGGATGGCATTTATATTTTACTCATGTTTAATATGTTGAAAGATATTCCCTTTTTTATATTTTAAAAATTTAAATTGATATTAGCTGCATCAATTAACACCAATTCAAAATTACTTATTTTAATAAAGGTGTTAACATACCGTAATTCCAAACACTGTCCACACGAGGGCACTGTTGGATTCCAAATAATTTGTGAAAAAAATGTCTGTTCTTGTTTTTGTTATTTGAAAATCTTGCTTTAATCTTCACATTTATTTATTTTATTTTTACAGTGATTGAAGTTTCACCCAAGTAGCTACATTAAAGTAAAAATAAGATGACTATGACATTGAATGTTTGTTGAATGTTTGTTTTAAAGCAAAGATATCAAACAAGGAGCCGATATAAGCGGGTTCAAGCTATACATGGTAGTATTGAACTTTAACCTCATTGCTGATTTCTTATCAGTATTTAGAACCATAATTCATGACTTGTGTTTCCTCCTGGAAACCCACTAGGGTCTGGTAAGGGTGTTTGCAAACCATTTTAAGTTATTTTTTGTGTGATTTTCTGGTATTTTCTCCCACAGTATAATTTTTATGATACTTTCATTTTTTTTAATGGTTTATGACCACTTAAAAAATAAATCTTAAACCTACTGAAGTTAGACATTTTAAAACTAAGTAAATTAGAAATTAAATAGTTAAAGAATGTATAAATACATTAAGTGATTTTGAATTTCCAAATCTAAGATGTTTGATTTTAAAAGTATTTTGTAGTAATTCTTCCTTATTCTGACTTTGATATTTAAGAATATTTTCATCTAAACATCTTTACATGTAACATATTAACATTTGACAAATTTTTTTTGTATTTTCTCTTTTGTTTCTGAGTTTTTCAATCTCAAAGCAATATGTCAGTATTTTGTACCAAAACATTTTGCGTAATCATGCTGACAGCTTGAGAAGCTTTGCTGTGATGCTTATTTCATGTAACGTAACAACATGGTAAATGTGCAAAGTCTTCTAAAAAAGAAATTCATTTTATTTATTAGCTGATAAAGCATCAAGGTATGACTCAGACTCTGAGTGACGCTGAGTGTTCCTTTTGCATATCGCATCTGTAAATGAAAACTCTGATACACCCTCTCTAATGGCTCTGCTGTCCAAAGGCCAAGGCAGCTCAGAAGATTATCAAAACTGTATAAGTGTACAGTGAGCTTCCTCCTCAGAGTCACTTTGATTGTGTGCGTATGAAGCAGAAGAAGCCAAGATGTCCCCTGGGATTTTCCTAACACTTCTGGCTGTGTCCTCAGCTGTATTTCTGGTGACTGAGGCAGACGTGGAGTCTGAGGCGAGGGAGTTTCTGAAAAGGTTTGAACAGAATGCCACTGACAAGGTGTACCAGAGCTCATTGGCATCATGGAACTACAACACCAACATCACTCAGGAGAACGCAGACAAAGTGGTAGGTCCTTGATTTCTTCATCGATTCATATTGTTGTTGTTGATCACTTTGGTTGGAAGTTTGTAATAAAAATCTGTTATTACTGTATGAAGTCAGAACAGGGGAGGATTTGGAGCACCTACTACAGCCAGATGTCAGAAGAGTCGCTCAAATATCCCATCGACCAAATTAAAGACCTGCAGATTAAATTACAGCTCATCTCTTTACAAGACAAAGGCTCGGGTGCTCTCACCCCGGATAAAGCTTCACGTGTAAGACTTTTTATTCTAATATTCCCATAATTTCTTTATGGTTTGTTCATACAGTATTCAAATATTTTTTTTCTAAAATATGTTCTAAGCATTATATTATGTTTTCTGTTGAATCTTTCTTGTAGCTCAATGAGATTCTGAATGAGATGAGCACAATCTACAGCACTGCAACAGTCTGTCTGCCCGACAACCCAACTAAGTGTGAGACTTTGGAGCCAGGTACAGTCTGTTATTAAAGAAAACAGCTCGTGTGACATAATGGTGCTGACAAAGATAGATAATGAAGTTATAAATTAACAAAACCTCACAGAGTCAGAGGATACCCTTATGATAACTCTATACCATCTATACAATCTTTACTGTGACAGATAATATCTGTAAACAATGATCTGAACATTTACTTAAATGTCAAATCCCTCCTCTCTTTGTGACTTTCTTTCAGCCTAAGACTAAAATAACGGCAAATATTGATCAATATTCAATCAATATGGCACACATTTATGTGACTGTGTATACCTTATAACATTATCCTAGAACATGTTGCATCATGCTTTAGTCTCTTTGTCAATAAAAAGCAGTAATTTCCTCGTGTATCTGTTTACTAAGAATTGTGCCACTAAATAAAAACAGCTGTTTTGAGTTGTTAACTTTTCCTGCTTGTCTCTGTATGCTCTCTAGTGAATTTGGTCCAACGTTGTCTTCTTCTTCTCCCTCATTTTATTGAATATAAACTCTCTGAACGGATTCATCATTTAGTTACAGAGAAGACATGAAGAGTTTTAATACTCCCTTTTAAAATGTCTGTTTTGTTAGGTAAAAAAAAAAATCAGATAACTATATATCACATCCTAAATATTTCCACATTAAAGGGACCCATAACATGTACTATATAATGGGACAAATGCCATTTAAGGGAGTAATTTTTGCTTTTCCTACACTGCAGTCAGTTATACTTTGTCATACTTATGCATTTTTTTTTCATGTTTTTTTCAACTAAATAAAATAATCTGTTTCTATTATGGCTCTATTCACTCACATTGTAACTTTTTCTATATGTATGTTACTATTAACAAAGTTGTTTTATTTTCATCTGAATCTCAGAACTGGAGAAAATTATGGCCAACAGCAAAAGCTACTCAGAGCGTCTCCATGTGTGGGAAGGCTGGAGGAAAGAGGTGGGGAAGAGGATGAGGCCTTTGTATGAAGAGTACGTGGATCTGAAGAATGAAGCATCCCGACTTAATGGTAAATAAAGAACAGGGAGACAATGTGTCAGTGTCAGGACAGCTTCAGAGTTTGAGCTGACTGACTATAAAACTTCTACCACGGAATAAAACTGATAAGGAACTGAACAGTGGGTTAGTAAAGATAAAGCCAGATAAGGCAGGAAGAGATGAGAGCGTTGTATTACTTTATGCCCCGTTTGTTAGGTTTATCCTCAACATCAGCCCCTCCTCTTGTAATTTTGGTTAAATCTCTGTGTAAAAGAAACTTTGCATCCTGTTGTTCCAAAATTATTGCACAAACAAACAGTGTTTAACTTGGTTCTGTGACCCTCACAAACCTTCAGGCTTTGAAGACTATGGAGCTTACTGGAGATACAATTATGAGACCCTGGAGGACGATCCTGAGTTCAAGTACACCAGGGATCAGCTGATGGAAGACGTTCGTTCAATTTACAAACAGGTTATTATCAATTAACCGTTAATAACAGTGAAAATTGAGTGTGAGAACATGAACACGTTTGGGGATGTCATTGTCATACTTTGCTTGCAGATCCTGCCTTTATACAAGGAGCTGCATGCCTATGTGAGAGCCAAGCTTATGGAGGTTTACCCAGAGTACACTGACTCAGAGGGACCCCTGCCCGCCCACCTACTTGGTATGTTTACGAATTAGTCATAATGGCATAACTGAGGCATAAAAACTTTTAATATACATAAACTAAAAATGTTACATGGTGTTTTTTTTTCCATAAAATTCTTACTTTCAAAATAAAGCCAAGAAAAATGTAATTGCTGCATAAACAATGAACTTTTGACGGTTTCATCCAATCCTGTATTAGAGAGAAAATACTCTGTAATTCAGGATACAAGTCCACAGATAACAAGACATGAGTTGAGAGCCAACGGGTGTCAGTAGAAGTGACTAATGTTCCTCAAACATCAAACATTTTATTGTTCTGTCAATTACTCATAATAAACCTTATGCTGATTTGATTTTTACTGTTCGGTTCTCTGTATTATCATACTTGTGATAGAAATGTAATGCATAGATGTTTAAATACTAATCATTTTAGGGAAGGATCAGGTAAACAGATTTTTATCCTACCATCAGAACTGGAGTTTGTCTCCCTCTGTTGGTCAAAGTATTACACTACAACTCTACTAAACATCATTAAACAGAATTTATTTTAAAATCTGATTATATCTGATTAAGATAGCTGTATTCTACAGTTGAAAGAACATTTCAGGATCAATTTTAAGCTTCAGAAAAAAATAAAAATATATTAACAAGTTTTCAATGGTTTCAGGTGACATGTGGGGACGATTCTGGACCAACCTGTATAATATGTCAATCCCCTATCGTGAGAAAGAAGACATTGATGTCAGCAACACTATGGTGGAACAGGTGCATTACACATATTTACAAAATGAAGATAACTACAATATAGAGCGTACACTTATGGAAAATAAAAATTGTTTTGTGTTTTAAATTTTACTTAAATTTCAGGGCTGGGATGAAATGCGTTTTTTCAAAGAAGCAGAGAAGTTCTTTATGTCTGTGGGGTTATACAAGATGTTTGACAACTTCTGGAATAACTCCATGTTGGTAAAGCCAAACGATGGACGGGACGTAGTCTGTCACCCCACTGCCTGGGACATGGGAAACAGAGAGGACTTCAGGTGGGAGAAAGTCAAAAACATGCACATATTTTTACATATTTAGGGGCCGGGCTCACTGTGTTTTAAAGATAGGTATCGATTACACTGTTATACCAGCATTATAAATGGAGAGGTTATTGGAAAAGTAATGAATCGTTCACTAAAGTTCCCTGCCAATAAAGATAATCAAAGTCAGGATTGTAAAATATGATTTTAAATGATTACCTAGCAACCAACAGCGATAATGTTTGCTTAAATGTTGAGTGTTATATTTTATGACTCAACGTGTATCCGTTTGGGTAAATATTACTTAAATAAAAGCACCCATAAAATTGTAGCTTGTTGACTCCATGTTTGTTAGACTGAACAGTTCAGGAGTATTTTATTGCTCATATTGTTTTATTGCTGTTGTTGAACTGCAGTAAATACATTGCCCTGTGTAACTGCTGAGATTAACACTTATCCTGATATGTCTCCAGGATCAAAATGTGCACCAAGGTCAACATGGACGACTTCCTCACGGTGCACCATGAGATGGGTCACAACCAGTACCAGATGGCGTACCGCAACCTGTCCTACCTTTTGAGAGACGGGGCTAACGAGGGATTCCATGAGGCCGTCGGAGAAATTATGTCTCTCTCTGCTGCCACGCCCAAACACCTGAAGAGTCTGGGACTTCTCTCTGAAAGCTTCACTTATGATGCTGGTGTGTTCGTTATGCGATCCCAAACACTGAACCGCAACATTAGATATATGGCAGTGATTGTTTAGTAAAATCTAAACCATAAAGCTGAACCACCTTAATCTGAACGTATAGTCCCAGAATTTTTCTTCTAAACTGAATTTCACCCAAGCATTGATATATAGGTGTATTTTGCTGATTATTCAAGTTTGTGGAAACCTTAGGGGCTAAGGATAAACAAAGCTTGTTAATGATAAAACCTCAAGATTGAAACCTGGCCCCTACTTGACTGATTACAAATCAGATTGTTTTTTTATTGCCCTTTGAAAAGCTTGCGGGTTAAAAACAGCTTCAGTAACACAGGAAGTTTCAGAATAACATGACCCTAGACCCTTAGCTAACTTTGTGTATGATAACGTATACTGGAAATGTCATAAAGATAAGAATAAAGAATTAATCTCCTTTGCTTTAGAAGCAAATATTAAAAGTGTATAAATGCAACCATAGCAAAACGGTCTTAGACTTACGGAAAAGTTAGAATATTTGTGCTTAGAGATTAAACGATTTTCCATGGGCTCATATTAATCACCTGTGCCTGTATGCCTTTCCCGTGTGTCTCTGTGTTGCATTGTGATAGATAGGCGCTGATCGGGCACATAGAGAAAATGAAATAAATGACTTAATAATCTTTTCTCCTCTTGTTTAATTTTCTTCTGTTCTGTTTTGTAGAAACTGAGATCAACTTCTTATTAAAACAGGCCCTTACCATCGTGGCCACTCTTCCTTTCACCTACATGCTGGAGGAGTGGCGTTGGCAGGTGCTTGCAGGGAATTTCTCCAAAGATGAATGGATGAAGCGCTGGTGGGAGATGAAGTAAGAATTAATGGGGTCTAATTCAGTGATGCTCCTCTTTTCATCGGTTTTTTTAAACCAATAAAAAAAAAAACATTTTCTGATTATAACCCAAGGGAATATGGGAAAATAAGAGAACTTCAAGTGTTTGGTGTTGTGGAGTGAAGTAGCTTCCTAACTGCAGATCTGTCAGTGTGCTTAGTGCTGATTCAGCATTGTCTCAACAGGAGGGATCTGGTGGGAGTTGCTGAGCCAGTAGAAAGAGATGAAACGTACTGCGATCCACCCGCTCTGTTTCATGTATCTGGAGACTACTCCTTCATCAGGTAAGACATTTGTTTTAAGGTTCAGCATAAAGCAAATGGGGAAAGTTATTTTTATCTTTTGTCTAAGATTAGCTTATTTGTAAACTTAAAACTGAACATGTTATAATCTTAAAGCTTCCTTAAAAAAATTTTTTTTCCTATATTACTTACAAAGGAGAAAGTAACTATCATTTTATAGTGTAAAAGTGTAACACAAGCTCAGTCTGATAATGGAATATTATATCTCACCTAATCTGTTCATTCATGCAGTTCTGTTTGTATTGCTCTTTCCTTTCCAGGTATTTTACCAGAACCATCTACCAGTTTCAGTTCCAGAAAGCGCTTTGTAAGGCAGCTAATCATGTGGGTGATCTGTCCTCATGTGACATCACTGGTTCCACGGCAGCAGGAACCAAGCTGAGGTATCTACTTCATGTTTGTCTGTACAATCCATGTCTTTTTCTTCTACATAAAGATAATTAATGTATGTCTTGCATATGTTTAAAGTTACAAGGATGTTAAAAGTATTCATGCTGCTTTTCCACAGAGATATGTTAGAATTAGGGAGATCTCAGTCCTGGACCAGGGCTTTGAAAACCATATCCGGAGATACAAGAATGGATGCTACTGCCTTGTTAGATTACTTCCAAAAACTTTATGACTGGTTGAAGGCAGATAACCTGAAAAACAAGAGGACTGTGGGCTGGAAGAAAGCAGATCCATGTGAGTAAAAATAAGATCACTTATTTAGCCTTTTTAAAGCAGATTAGAGAGTCAGAGTAATATATACTGTAGGCTTCAGCAGACAAATAAAATGATAATCACCCATTCTTAATCTTAACTATCCCATCTATTAATTCATGTCTTATTTATTCAAGTTATTGGTCAATTTAATGTTTTGGATGTAGGCAAATAAATCTTTCAATCAAGAGCTTGTTTGTATGATTTGTGACTAAAACTATTGTTTGAAGATGCATTGATATTAAGAAAATATGAAGAGAGATGAGAATCAACACTTGATCTGACTTAGTTTTTTATGGAAAACCTTATTTTTGACCGCATTTGTTACTAGAAAGTGGTTCATAAACATGTGGATGTGATCAATTTATTTTTTCTTTTAAAAATAGATTATGATAGTACCATCCTAAACAATCTATCAACCAGGCCAGAGATTATTTATAGGGGACAACACAGAGAATATATATGGGGGAAAAACAAATCAATTCTTATTTGTTTATTAACAGCTTCAGAACAAGCCATTAAAGTGAGAATAAGTTTGAAAGCTGCTTTGGGGGAAGATGCTGTGAGTATTACCATATTCAGCTGCAATGAACATGAAGTCCAGTCTGTATTGTTTTATGAATATTATGTCACAAACATCTCTTTCAGTATCCCTGGAATGAAAACGAGATGTTTCTCTTCAAGGCCAGTGTTGCTTATGCCCTGAGGCAGTACTACAGCCAAAAGAGGCAGACACTTCTTTTCACGTCAGTTTTCTGCTTCTTCCTGAGGATTTTAATCAAACAATTCATTCTTCTTTATTAACTTGGACCCTGTGCTTCTGATGTATTTTGATATAATTTTTTCACTTTACCCTCTTAGATCGGAGAACATTATCACTTTTGATGAAACACCAAGGATCTCCTTCTACATGAGGGCCTCAGAGCCAGGAAACCCCTCTGCCTATATTTCCACATCTGATTTGAAAGCAGCCATCAGGTTGGACTCCCATTTTATTTACCACATAAAACAGTTATCTGATTTACATGAAGCTGTAAAGGTTATGAGGTACACTTTTAAAACAGTGATACAACCTTTTCTTCTCAATATCTGACATCAAATCAAGCCAAACCTAACCATCAGTTATTATTCTCTGAGTAATTTATATTTTATAGATACCTAAACAGTAATTTTCTATTGCATTTCTTTGAAATACTGTTTCATATTTTGTTTGCATTTTGTAAATTGCATTTTAGTACACACACTTTGGTTTTCCCTTCACAATAATAGCTTACTGTATTTTAACCCATTGTTCCTGAAAAAGAAAACAGATGTAACTGAGTTACATTTGTAACTTAGTGATGGAAACTTTATCTAATCTTTTTTTAAATCAACCTATTTTTTTTATCTACTTTATTTGGCAGCATGGTAAGGATAAAGGTCTATTTGGAATTCCAACGGGTCCCTCACATCCTTAAAATAGTGTTTAAATATTTCAAAGTTAGCTCAAGTTTCTGTTCCAGCAACACATCCTCATAGCATGCGATCTCTTACTGTATTTTAAGATGGTACAGTAAGAGGTTGCATGGTTGAGATGGGGTTCAGACTTTCAACAGCATATCTTCAAAAATTAAGGTCTATGACTGTATTTTGCAAACACTATCTAAGCCTTTTTTTGTTCATTATGGAGTTATGGCCCCTTTTAGCCAAGCAGCTCTTCAGGTTATTGATTTATTTAGGATCGATAAAATATTTTTGAATTGAATTGCATTATTTTAGTAGTAGTGGGTGAAAGAGAACAGGACTTGTTCTACTGTGCTTAATGGCATTCCCCTACCAGCTTTAGCCAACATCTTCACTTTTAGGTTTTTATTTGATTTTACGGCAGGGCATTCTCATGTAATTTGTGTTTGCACACAAAGATTTTGACAGGATGACTTGACACCTTGACATACTGTAATATCAAGCAATCAGCTAAAAGTGTGGAGATTTATCATTTTGTTTGTGACATTTTAGCTGATTTCCTCAATCATATCCATGATGTCACCCAATAAAGCAGCTTGTTGCGTCAAAATAAACTAACCTGAGTATACTGTAACTAATAAGCTATCAGAAGCTTGCAAAGCTGCTACGTGATTTGCTATGTTTTTTAAAAATTCTTTAGAATTACTTATAGTTTATGTAAACTATAAATAATCTAACTAAAACAAAATATATTTTTATATGAGTGTATCTATAAAATGCTCATTTTGCCATCCATCCAGGTTATCTCGAGGTCGAATCAATGAAGCCTTCCAGTTAGACGACCAGACTCTTGAGTTTGAAGGTATCCTGCCAACGCTGGCCCCGCCTGTTAAACAGCCAGTGGAGGTTTGGCTGGTGGTATTTGGTGTCGTCATGGGCATCGTGGTGCTGCTGGGTGTCTACCTCATCATATCTGGTGTCAGGGAGAGGAAGAAGTGAGTGTTGTCTTCAGAAAACCTCTAACGTGTTAACCCATCACTGACATGGAGCTAAAACATGTTTCTGCTTTTTGTGCTTGTAGGAAACCTTTGAAGACACCTATGGAGAATCCTTACAGCATAGATGTTGATGGAATTAGTAACAATGCCTATGATAATAGAAGTGATAGCAGTGATAGTAGTGATAGCGCTGATAGTAATGAACAAACTGGACTTTAAGGAGCCAAAGACGGGATGACTGCTTTTGACTCGGGGAGCTTAATCTCATGGTCATTTTGGTGTAATCTTTATTTGCATTCTTGTACTTGATAAATGTAAATATCTGTGAACCTTTCAGTATTGTAAATATCCTTGGTTATAAAAACCAGGACATAATAGACAAATAGTGTAATATTTACCAACAGCGTACCTAAATGGTGTAATAAGATTGATACATACCGGTAGTTTATTTTAGTTTGATAATGCAATTTCTGCCAATGTGACAATTTATAAAATACCAATGCAATGAAGGTGTAAATATAATTTTATGGTACTTAAAAGCTGCAGACAAAGTAGGAGAATTTATTTGAAATTTGTATATTATATTAAAGGGTTTTACTAGTTAAACTTCACCCACTGGGAACCTGCAAAAGCAGGTGTCTTGCTTTTGCAAGACATGTCTTTTTGCATGTACTTTTTTTTTCTTACTTTTTACTTTTCTACAGGAAATTATTTTTTTAATTTTTATTATAGTACCTTCAAAGTTGAGCTACGTTATTGGCTGATAAGCAAATTTTATAACACATATTCTTAGACTGAGATTAGTCTAAAGATTAGATTTTATTTCACAAATTCGATAGTTGTTTTAGAGTTTTTAGGCCTCTGCTCAGAATAATACAAGTGCATTGTAATTGAAACATAAGAACTTTAAGATCACATTGAGAAATTTAATAAAAATTGGAGTTAAATAAAGTTATGTATTAACATATGATCATAGAATAAAAATGCATTTTTTCCTGGTTTGAGCTGACTTAACTTAAGATCTGAAAAGCATGTGTATTTCATAGAATTCCATTATGTACAAATCATTGTTTATTTTACTTTGAGAAGCTTTATAACGTATGTTTAAAAAGTTAAACAAGCTCTTTTAATATCCATCCATTTTCTGTCACGCTTTTATCTCAGCTGGGGTTGCGAGGGGTGCCTGTTATCTAATATGTAGTTTAAATAAAGTCACACATAATTTCTTTTCAAATAATTTGAAAGGTTAATAATACGCAGCAAAAACAATAGCAAAACATTGTGAAGTATAAAAATAGTAAAAAAAACTGTATGACACATTTTTACGCACATCCTCCAGACCACAGCTCTATCATGTGACTTTATCATTTGTCTCCAAAATAGATGCGCTGAACAAAAGCGCTTCTGTCATGACTGTTCCTCTTTTTATGTACTAACTATGTAATGACTAAGATGAGTTTTTTTTAGGCTGTAAAAAACAACCCTCTTTCACTTCTGGATAACAAAGAGGAATGACGACTCCCCCCTTTCTCCGTCCGTCTCAGCCATTTCTACCAAGTCTGTGTTGGCTATATGGATGAACCATCCTTTGTAGAGAGCAGATTCAAATGTTCGCTGTTTTGTGCGGTCAGCTTTCATGTAGAAGACAAAGGAGAAGGTGCACTCATCGCTCTTGGAGATCTGCCTGAGTTTCTCCTTTTCACATGTCTGAGTACAAAAAACAAAACAAAACATCAATTTAATGAATTTGGAATTAAATTAAGTGTTCGGAGCATAATCCCTTGTTTCTATATAACATTGTTGAAGAATAAAATAAAGATTCCTGGATAAGGACAAGCAGATACAGATGCCAGAAATGCGGGGTAAAATAAAGACAGAAAATGATCCAAAACATAACATCCCTTAGAAAGCAGCAGACATAATACGACAAACAACCAAATACACTACTGTTTATAAAGCAAAACCAGGACTTTCAAAGAAAAGAAGATAAAAGGTGTCATTTAGCTGGATGCCTCCTTTAACTAGGAAGATAAATTAGTTGAAGTATTTGGGTTATTTTCTTTCCATCATAACTCTCCTGTACATCAAGGATTTCACGAATTGCAACAGCTCAGTTAGGAAATTTGAAACTTTTTGTTGATGCTGTGAAAAAAAAACAGAACACCACAGACTCATTGGACTGTTGGTAAATCTGATTAATTGCTTTGCAGCAGGAAGGTCTATAGTTGGGTTATCAAATGGGGTTTTCTTCAAGAACATTAGTTTCTTCACAGAATTAAAAAAGATGGATGCTCCACAATTGCAATGCAAATTGACTCAATGATAAATTTTATGGCATACAGGTGCATTCGTTCCAGTATAGATATATTAAGGCAAATGTAAAGCAAACTGTATTAAAATCCTCTGACCAAAGCTTAAGGCCTAAAGTACAGACAAGGAGCATTAAATATAAAAAGAATAGGGCTGAAACACTTTGCCAAAAGAATTCACACAATTGCAAAAGAACATATCAAATAAAATGTGGCCTTGAGAGAACGATCCCCTTTCCTTCCGTTTATTTATATCAGCCAAAATGTCACAGTGCCCAGATGTTTTGTATCCCTAAGGATGGTGTAAATATACCCAAACAGTATATTTTGGCACTGAAGATTAACCCATCAGATTCCAGAGTTGATTCTAGTTCCACAAAATAAAACATATGACAAGGATAGTCAGGATAGGAGCATTGTTGCAGATAAACAATCCATCTTGGTAACCTTTTTATCTTCCATTAGGTAGGAAAGGAGGAAACAGTAATGATTAGGAAATGGATGCATGCTCTACCTTGGCCACACTGTGGCTGCACCCATCTTATACCTCATCCAAAATACTTAGGTTATCATGAGCTATTTTCTGCATTAGTGCTGCTATAGGCTTAGACTGCTGGAGAACATAGGGACCCCTTTTGATCATTCCATCTCTATTCTCCCATTCTGCAGACGTTATGATGTCTCAGTTTTTTCTTATCATAGCTTCATCTGCTCTGTTCCTGTTTCAATGTGATACAATCTTGGAGAGAGGTGTCAGATGTGCTGTTGCCATCAACACTTTTGTTAAAAGATGTTGCAACTTAGCCTGCTTTTCAATGTAGGCATGTTTCTTTGACTGTGGCTAGTTGTATGTGCTTTCTTTCCTCCTCTTACATGGAAGCTGGCTTGGAGCTCATCTGCCTGGCTGTGTGTTTCCTGGACAATGCCGCCTGCTGAGCTGGTTGACGGTTAACTTTTGTATCTCTGCTTCTTTCTGTATGTCTGCTTCTGTCTCTTTGAACAGAAATCATTGAACTAATTGACTTGAAGGCAGTGAGTTGAAGCATCAGCTGGTTTTCCTTCAATAGAAAACTTTGAACCAATCTGACTGTATGATCTGGTTGAATTTTCTCTGTAAAGTGCCTTGAGATGACATGTGTTGTGAATTGGTGCTATAGAAATAAACAGAATTTAACTCATAAATGGGCAGGACATTGCGACCTAAAGCAACAATAGCAGGCAAAGTCAAAGTTTTTTTGTGATGGCATTTGTCCTGACAGCAGTATCAACGTTCTGTCAATCGCTCCCTTAATCTCTTTAGATTCCATCAAAATGTTGTGTTTAAATCTAAGTCTATACCCAAATGATAGAAGTCATTGAAAAGAGATGAACATCAGTGAGATGTGACATTCCACATTTTACCTCTGTTTCTAGGCGCACACTATCTCCTTCCTTGCAGCATCTAAGAAAACAATTGGAGCCTGTGAGGTTTAGGACCACTGCCATTCCTCTGAAGAACCTTGACATTACATTTGACTTGTAGTAGTAGATGGTGATCTTCTCTGTAGGAAAAACAAAGATACATTATTGTTACTAACATTAGCTCCTAGAGCCGGTGTCTAGCCTGCAGGCAGGGTGTGCACTGATCAGTATGACTAACCTGGATTTGGTGATGTGTAGACATTTTTTTCTGAGCAGATACATCTGAGGTAGCGGTGAGTGGGAACATGTTTTATTAAGACATCAGACAGCTTTTCCTGTCTAAAATTGATGTCTCCCCTGGGAACTGAAAATGGACATAAATGTCAGACACCATTAACCTACGATGCTTCATTCAAGTAAGTGTTGCTTTTTTCGTTTTGTCTGTTGAAAGGTAAACCATTGACCATTGCTAATATAAATGTATTAACATGAAACTATAAATAGAAGCTACTCCAGGGTAATGAATCTTTCTATAGGACACACATCTAGCTTGTAATGTTCTTCAAAAAATGCTGCTCTAGTATTTAAAAGAAAAAACAACTTTTCTTTAAAAATTAAACATTGGTCACAATATAAGTGATGCAGTTTAGATTAAAAGCTGACATGAAAAAAAAAAATAGTGAAACAGTTCAAGTTACCAAGTGTCACTGTGCTGGATTCAGCCACCACCACAATCTCATTGAAAGTGCATCCTGTCCCATTACATCCCTCACAGGGCGTCTCAGGATCGCAGCCTCTGCCTCTCACCACAGAGATGCTGGTTTTTGTCATGTGTATCACAAGGAGATCCCGATCCTCATTCTTGCTGTTCTCTTCTCGGCATGCATCTACTGAATCTTCTGTATCATTTCCCTCTCCATCAACATCATCTCCTTCTTTATCATCTCCTTCTACATCATCTCCCTCCTTATCATCTCCTTCTACATTATCTCCTTCTTCGTTTTCTTCCTCTTCCTCATTTCCTTCATTTTCTCCTTCAGTATCTTCCTGCTTTGTCATCTTCCAGGAAAAACTCAGAATTGTGGACTCTTTGTCATAGGGTTGCAAGGTGTCCTCATCAGGGGGCAGCTGCTCTTTGCTTTCACATATTTTTCCTGGCTTGTGTACTGTCTGAAGAAACAAATAGGGGTTGATTTATGCAAACAGCAACAGAAATTCGATACTACCACCATTAAAATACATTCTCCATAACAGAGCAAATCAAATATATGATCTGCCATAAGAAACGTGCTTGGACAATTTGGTGAACAGAAATGAGACCTGGTTTAAAGAGCTGTGCCAAGTAAAAAGTTCTGTTAATCTAAATTGGGTATGCCCAAGTCCAGTTCTTTAAAACTTAAGCCCTACAACACTTAGATGCATTCATCTCCAACAGACCTGAGTCATGTAGCTGAACTCCCTCTGCGGTGAACCTATCAGCTCTCCAGAGACATATCAAGTCATTAATTTCATTCTGTTTGTTGGAAAAAGCCGTGTAGTTATAACTTTGTTTATGCCCCCTGGTATGGTTTGCAGCTAGGAGGTGAACCACCAGCCTGTCTCTGACCCCATATTTAGCTCCATACATCGCTTCATCAAAGGCTGTATTTTTTCCTCCTGAAATGATGCATCCCAAAAGAATGATACTACCACCATAATATTCCACTGTGCAGTTATATTTTGGATAATCTCATTTAAATACATGTCACACTTCAGACCTTTATTTGTAAAAACAATAATATTCATTTGTAAAATGAAAAGCATGTGCTATTTTACAATTAGTTTTTAGTTTCTGTTGGTCTATCAAATACAATACTATAAAACTGACTAAAACATATGCTCTTATTTTATTTAGATGGTTAAAGACTATAAAATGTAATATGTTCAAATACTGTAAAATAGATCTGGAGTCAATGAACTCACCAGCATTGGGTTGCCTTCAGCGATTATTTGAGCCAGCTTTTCAGGTTCTAGATCTTGCAGCTGAACTCCATTGATCTCCATCAGCGTGTCTCCTTTTCTATAGAAAGTGTAACAAATGATATTGCCATTACCAAAATATTCAGAAAATACCTAGAAAACATATTTATTAATATCTTTTAAGTAAATTATTCAACTGTAACATTTATGGATTCTAGATTTTCATAGGCTGCCTCTAACCAGTTGTTTAAAACAAAGGAAGAATATTAATCATTCTTCAACCTCTATAAAAAAAAAAATGTTTTGCCAGATTTTTCAAATTCCTAAAACATCATGATTAATTAAAATAGCCTATATCTGTCATGATCTTGACGCTGAAGGCTGGCTTAATTGCTCATTTCATTTACCTGTCTAACCCTGCCCGGTTTCTGCTCCTACCTCTATTTAAGCTGCTTGTTTCCAGCAATCAGTACCAGATTACTCTTAAGCCTTTTGTGTAGAGAATTTTCCAGCATTACTATCATTTTCTGTTTGCCTGACCTTTGAGCTTGCCTCTTCCTATTCTGATCTGGTTGCCTGACCTGTCTCCTGACTCCATTTGCTACTGTGGACTGAAGTTGGATCTGCCACTTGACTTCGCCCTGTGGATAACCCTGTCTTCCTTCCTGTGTCTTGTCAGCCGACTGGCTGGAATTATTCTTGATCTACGGGCACGGACTGAACTGTGAAAGTAGGATAGTGGCTCATGCCTTAATAATCATCCTCCGTCAGATTACCGTGGTCGCTAACCTGTGTTTCTCTCCTGTAGAGGTCCCTGCCTAAGATGTCCTAGTTGCTGCTACCACAGATCTGCAGTCCGTCGTTAATAATAAATGCCTTTTGAGTTATCCCACTGTCTGTCTTGCTTTGAGTACGGGTTCTCTCTGATCTGAATCATTACAATATCATGCAAAATAACTTTTTTCCCAACACTGTTATATTGATATCCCTTTATGTACAAAGTGGTAAGTCGCTTGATTCACGCAAAACTCAGTAATCCTCATGAATTCTGCTCTTGGACCAGCAGCCCCTTCCAGTCCTGGAAAAACTAGTGGCCAAGCGGGTATATGTAGAGCAGGGAATACCTGCCCTCTTCAGGAAACACAGTTGTTAGATCTGCCCTCCAGCCAAATAAACAATACAAAAGTGGTCTCTAATCAGTGAGTCTTGTTTAGTTTTTTGAGAAAATTTGTTTTTGTGGTCTAAAAGGCCTCTGATTTTTTTAAGGCTCCCTCAAAAGAAGCCTTATTCGCCAGAAGTGTGAGGTATAATGCTGCAGGGACAAAGTCACTGAATGGGCAGCACCAAAAGAGGAGAGGCAGTGTTGCACTGAAGTCAGCAATCATTCTTTAGGTTTTTGAAAATAAACTAATATTTCATAAGAAATATAGAGCCAAAGACAGTATTTTATTGTATATCTATCTTTATTTGACTTTGAATGTATAAGGTCTTAAAGGTCTAAATTTGTCCCACATCATAATTTTATAGAGTTGAATAAACTGACAACATACCTGAAATCTTTTTTAAGCTAATTCACTGATCAGTCTCCTTATATTAACTCTTACGTTTGGATTAATATGATGTACAGCTGTAAATTAATCAGCAACATTTGAATCTCACTCGTTCTCCATGACTATGAGTTCTCTGATAAGGTTATCAATGTCATTTTTTAAATACACAAATGTTTGGGATTTTAAGATAAAACAAACCATTAAAGGGAAATATTCTTAAATCATACCTCACAAACATTTTCTTCCCAGTCTCCTTTTTGTATTTCACCACATTTCCCACCTCATAGTGGTGTTTCCCCTCATACATTTGGTGTACAATCAGCACACCCCCATTAACAAGAGAATCCTAAAAAAAACAAACAAAAGAAATACAAATTAAAATTTATCTTAACTTGATCACCAGAATCAACAAATACAACAGAATCTGGCCTATAACGGTGTTTTTGATTAACTCACCTTCATGTCCATGTTGAAGGTTGCGTCTGCCGCTGATAATGTAAATGTGATTGGTCCGGTGGAAGCAGCCTATTGTTAAAGCGCTGGTGTTTAGCTAAGGACAAGAGGAAGAAGAAACAAAGAAGCCCATGGCACAGTTAGAGATGAGGAACTGATATCTGAAGAGGAAGCAAGTCTGATTTATATTCACTGGAGAGGAGGCCTTCTTTGTAATTGCTTAGAAAAGAGAACTGGTTAAATACATGTAGGAACAGGACTGCAATTATAATAACAAAGCATTTTTTTTTTTTTTAAACCGTCAGTAACAAAAAGTTCCTAAAGAAGTGATGTTATCTCAAACATCTCAAATAAACCGGTTAGATTAAAGTTTTACAGAATTGTAACCACTCAGAATTAATGTAACCATACAACAATTCGAGAGAAATCAAAACAGAAAAGAAGAAATGAAAACATTTCTTGTAATTACTGTACATGGGAGCAATGAGAATATGGTTGTGCTTCCTCTTTCAACCACCTGCTCTGTAATCTAAGCAACTTTTGCTCTGTTGTGTTCTATGGATTTATTGAACCCAGAGAAAAGGGGCAGGCAGTTCTCAGCAAGGTACAGCTGTTCAAATCAGTAAAATAAAAGTAAAATTACCATAATATTATATCTCATTATGTAGGATTTTGGTGAAAGAGTATTGATAAAGTCTAACTGGCTTAATAAGCAACATCTCTATGCAGAGAAGTTCTACCTTATGAAAGTTTAATAATTAATTAGAGACCAACACTGTTTATATATAAGAAATAATTTTGGTCTCAATGAAATTCATACATGGTTTCCCATCAAATTTTAATTTGTCTTTCAGAAGGGTAAATTATTTTTGTCAAAGATCATAAATTAGGCTGAGAGGAATATGTTTAATAAAAACTCAATCAAAATAATTAAATATTCACACTTATTTCTTTTTTTTTATAGTATCTGGTCACTAAATCATAATTGAGTTTTAATTACTCAATTAATTACAATTACTCAGTTAAATGGAGAGACAAGCCATCGGTTTGTATCTCTCTATATGTTAATAAAGACTGCATCTGCATATTTGGATTTGTTTTAAGTTTTGGATTCGTTTAGAAAGGAAAACTGGGAAATCAAAACCCACTTTTCATCCTTTGATTCTGGCCATCTTGAACCCAGCTAAAAAGGGCATGTGTGGTCAAATATTAGACTGTGACGTCAACTTCTCTGGGAAAAGAGTTTAGATGTAAGCAGGTGCAGTTCTCATAATGTGGTCTCTCTGCTCCCCCCTCACAGTGGCTGGAGGGGGCTCTGAATATCTTACTGTACTAGCCCCACTGGTTATTTAAAACCGACTCATCAATTCGAACTATCTTGATGTAGAAGATTAAAGGGGTGTTGTTGAAATAATTAAATATAGAAGAATTTTAAGCAAGATTTAATTTTAAAGAGTAAATGAGACAAATTAATAAAAAGGTTTAAGAGTCTGACATAGAGGAATTCCAAATACCGTGCTTATAATTTGCGGTACTAGTAATAGTGTTAAGCTCTAGAAAACATATTTGCAATGAGATGGAAGAGTGAGTTGAGGTAAAAATAAAAAAATTTAGTCTGTAATAGAATTTCTCTAACAAGAAACTTTCACATCTTTACATAACTCAGTTACTTTGACAGTCTTTTTTTTTTTAACTTCTTTTAATGAGTTTTTTCTGTGTTAACTGATCACTATTCAGTCTCTTTCTCCTACCCATTCATTTCCTCATAGTCTAATTTCCTATTTAAAAGTATTATGTACATTTGATCATTGCTTTAAATAGGGTTTTATTTGCCTATTTAGTAAATGCATCTCCATGTGATTGGAAGCTTTATAGTCACAGATTCATTTTGGAGCAACCTATCAGTGCAGTAATGAAAGTAAGGGTTGCATGCACCAAGCATGAACGGGGCAAAGGAAACCCTACATTTTTGTAATACAGGAAACTTGCATCATTAAGAGCTTTAGATCACTGGATGTGTGACGTTCTTGATTCTTTTTACCTTATTTGTTGATTAAAATGTAGGGGATAAAAAGTGACTCGAGTCAAAGTGAAGCTAGTAATGAGAGTATGTGAAGGTGATTAATTAAGCAGCGCATGTTTCCAAAATGTTTTGTTGGTTTGATACTGGAGAAGTTGCATGTGTTACTATATATACACAAGCATACACATACAGAGAAGTTAAATTGGGATTTCCCCGCTGAGCCAGGGAAGTCCAAAAGGGAGGAGATTGAGTTACATGAGGGACACACGCTTCAGTACTGCAAGTCCACCACCGTCCGCTGCTTTATGCCTGTTTTGAAGAAGCTCTGATTTTTTTTTTTTTCCCAGCAGATGAAAAGTGGCATGTCTATCAGGTACTGGAATGTAACACAGAGAGATTCTGCATGTTATTTCACAGCATAAAGAATTTTCTGTCTTATGCTGAAATGTGATCAATGTGATTAAGATATCCACTGGAAATTGTTATAGGATGAAAAATAACTTACTTTGATTCTTTATCTAGACTTTATATTTTCTATCTGAGATTTCACACAATAATAAGAATGAAACACCTTTAGCTGAATCGGCTTTATCTTGGGTATTTCTGTGACTCAGGTCATAAACAAGATTTAAATTTTTCCTCTTCTTAGGTTTTTAGGAGTATACTGTAAGGGGCCATATTACCCTGTTCTGTTGTTTCTGTCTTGGTTGCAGACAGTCATGCTAGATGTGTTAATAATAGGCGGTGGCCCTCATGCCTTGACCCTGGCGAGCTTGCTCTACAGCCCTGACCCTGATCAAGACTCTGATGGTGAAGATGACTCTCTCACCTCCACCCCCATTCTCTCAAACTTTGAAAAATTCAAGCCCAAACCCTACAAAAAAAGGAGGAAGAGAAGGACAGCAGCAGGTACAACATAATCAATTAGATGAATAGATATTAATTACCTTTAAGAAAATGTAATCCTCTTCTGTAAGCTCCAAAGACATTTGGCCATCAAACAAACATGTAAACCTTGTTATTATAGAAAATGTTACAGAAAATAAACCTTAATTCCCCTGCATATAATTTAAAGGAAAAAGATTGCAGCCACAATGACAACTGCCTTTTATTTTGTTGCTTGTTTTAAATGGCGTTTATTAACTTAATTTGGTGAGAAGTGTTTTAAATATTAGTTTATCTACCACATCTAGTATTGCTTAGGCAAGGGAAGGGTGGGACAGAAAGAAATAGAAACAGCTATATAGAAATTTCAATTAACTTGGCCATATGCGGTTACATACAATTATGGTGTTTAACATGGAAAAAATAAATATTCCTGAAAATACCCATTAATTAATTAGTATCCTTCCCCAGGAACATTATGAAACATCCCTATGCTTAAAGGAGAAGTCTGGTCAGCAAGGAATGATCAATGGTTCATTATCTATACCTAAAACTAATATGTTTGCGGTGATTTAATAAATTTAGCGTTAATCAGTAAAAAAATAAAAACAATAATTTTCTATCACTAAGGCTGGTAACGGCCATTTTTGCCCTTATATAGCAACAACTCACTCCTCACATCTTCCGGCAGTGACGTCACAGTGCGGTAAGCCTAGCTTTACAAGAAAATCAATGGAGACTACTAGACACATCTGCAATCAACAACAATTATTTAAGATTTTGAGAGGACTTCACCATTGAAATTCTTGAGAGCTATGCTTAAACTGACAATGGCAACATGCATCACAGTTGGATGTTCCAATACATCAGATAAAAATAAAAAAAAGAATTAGTTATTTCACCTTTCCAAGGTGATTCCCAACTTGAGGATGGAGGATTTGCCATCCAACTTCTGGCCAGAGAAAAAAACATATACAGTAATATGTAGCCAATATTTCGAAGACGAATGTTTTCATGAGGATTTGGATAGTAGTGCCTTGTGACAAACACCAGATACAGCATTGGGACTTCATCAACAGCCAATACCACACAGTGACGTCACAGACCAGTAGGTGGCAGTAGTGTCCTTTGACAAACATGGACGTCTCTGGTAAAGCACATTCAAATGAAAATTACTCTTAATTAAAACACTTATCATTTATTGAGCAGTGTGGATTAATTTTATATTCAGAGGACTATCAGAAGTTTAAATTGTGAATATGACCGGACTTCTCCTTTAACACCTGTTTTTTCATAAATCGGTCTTGGCCCCGCTGATAAGAATGCCTTCTGAACTATTCCCTTGTCAAGATCGATATTACACCTTTAAAAATAAAAAGGAGAGTCTTTGCTTCAGCTAACTTCACAGATATAAAACAATGTACTGTATGCTCTTGACAGATATTTTATATTGTAAAATAAGTCAAGTCATCTGTAAATGTTTATATTTTAACTGGTTCCTTATAGAACCTGGCTGTAAAATCTTCAACCCTCAAGAAGAACAATTCTCTCATTAAATCTCATGGAGTAACCAAGCTATATGAACCTTAGCCTTCCTCAGAATAACAGAAGTTTATTTGACTTGTCGTAAAATTCCAGAAATTCACCAAATAAGTGCCCAATAGCAAACAGGAAGTCATGAGTTAGATAAAACAAAAATCCCTTTAATAGTAACTCTATACTTAAAGTATAAAATAAATAGAAATAGAATAAAGATAGCTTGTGTTGTCTCTCATTGGGAGAAGTTCAGAAGTACCAGGAACTGAATTAAGAAAAAAAAACACAAGGTAAGAATGTTGTTATATAAAGAATATTGTATCACTATTTACATAAAATGAAAAGAAACGGGAAGTAACAAAACAGTTGTGAACAACGTGCTGAGTTTTATAGGAGCAACAACTGTATTACAGAAACCAGGAAATTTCAAAATCAAAAGATAACAAGATAGTATTAACTAAAACAGACATAAAATTGTAATACTATTACAAAAGTATTACAAAAAACAATTTTGAAAGTAAACCAGACACAAAAAAAGGAATAACATTTAAAAAAAATGAACCAAAAACAGGTCTGGAATAAGGAAGGAAATGGGGTAAAGAATTAATAAAACTAAAACAGAATCCAACACATAACAAGAAACAAAAAAAAAAAAGAAAAACCTAAAATGTCCTTTGCACCATGACAAACATGTTTTTTAGTCTAAGGTCCTAAGCTAAACTTTCTGATATTAAAAAGGCTAATATCCAAACCATTGAGGCTTAGTAAAGCCTCCACCAAGACCAAACATTTTTTAAATAAATAAATAAAAGGGGAAAGAAATAACAAATAGATTTTATTGTCTTACATGAGAGTTCCAGCAATTGCCATATGTTTCTCACTTTGTAGTTATATAATATTTCTGGTTCTGTAATGTTAAACAATACTTTGTTACTGGTGTAGTTTCTCTTCAAAATGTTGCTTAGCATGGTTCTGGTTCTGCAAGGTGATCGTCGCCCAAAGACGATGTTGCTTATTTTGAGAGTGCCATGCTGTTTTTTTTCCATGCAACCAGAACCAAGTAAAGATTTTGGTGGCTCATTTTTGCCACTGTTCAACTGTCTTATAATATTTAGCCTAGTGTTTGTTAACCGCAGTTTTCAACATTTCAACAAGCACACGAAATATACCCCACCTCCCAAAAGTGCTCTATTGTAGCAGAGACCAAGGACTTAAGGCCATTTGTAAGGCAAAATTGCATGACAAAAATGCTTCTGATACATAGCTAAATGAAGTCTATTCAAATTGTACTTTTACTCAATTTAGATTGGTTAAAATCTGTAGGTCAGTTTATAAAACATGCCCTTTTGCAAAACCTTGCTTAGGATTGTTTGGTCTTAGAGAAAAACAATTTCAATAACTCAAAAACTTTGATTCAAACCCTAACACTAACCCTATCGTTATTAACCTCTGCAGGACAGACCACTATGGAGCAAACCACAAGGCCAACATTGCCAGAAAGCACTGTTTACCCCCCACTTAGCATCCTGGTGGTAGATACCTATGGAGAATGGGCAGCTCTGTGGGAAAGCCAGTTTACAGCTCTGAACATCCCTCACCTTCGCTCACACACACTGGTGCACACAGACCCTTTCAATAAGGTATGACCATAACTTCCCCTAAGGAAAAATAAGTAAACACTTAAATTAGCACTACATGTTCAAATAAAGTATTTATTTATTTCTGTCAGAATGCTCTTCAGGAGTTTGTTCTCAAGAACAATCGCTCAGCAGAGCTTCACAGCCTTCCAGATCATGTTCACATTCTGGATGAAAATGCGTTCTTCAATGATATGCGGCTCGGCAAAAAGGAGAAGAGACGTCTGAATATCCCCTCAACGCTAAAAAAGAGTTCTTCCTTCAGTTTACCAGGAACTAAACTCATTGTGGATTTTTTTAAAGAGCAGGTCAAAAAGATTTCTTTCATAAATAATGCCTCTTCTCTTTTTTCTGCCTAACCACCACTCTCGCTGATAAAATTTCACTGCATGATATGTTGCAATACTATTAGATTTGAGGTAAATAAGCAATGCAAGAAATGATCTTTTCAAACATGTTTTATTCTTTATTCTCTGAACTTCAGACATCAAGATCTGACATATTAAGGGATTCCAAGACTAACTAATAACTAGCTACATGTATTTTTTTGTAACATGCAGGTAAGGAGATACAAATTAGACAAAATAATGGTGAAGGGAACGGTGGAAAAAATCATTCCTGTAACCGGGGACACAAAAGGAGTGGAAGGAGACCAGAAAGCCCCAAGTATGACTGTCAGAGAGACTGAAAAGGTGAATGGTGAATCAAGACAGAAAATCCAACATTTTTGCGTCGAACTTCAGGATGGAAGAACCTTAAAAGCCCGGCAGGTTGTTTTGGCAACAGGTCCAACTCGTTCTCAAATGTCCAACATCCCTGAATGGGTTGAAAACATTGGAGAGAGTTACCCTGAGGGACGACTGCAACACACAGTTCATCTTATGCACAACCTGCCAAACTCTAAGCAAAGACACCTGGAAACAGAAATTCAGAAGCAGGAGGAGACTTCGGCCAATCAAGGTAAGGAAGATTTCACCTTCAAATTATGATTATGACCAGTAGGTGATACATTTTTATGTTAAAAATAATTCATCTAAGCCCATTGTTATGCCTTGAAACACTCAGACTTTATCCTCAATCTAACATGGACCCACAGACCCCGAAGTCCTTCATGAGCACTGTATACATATGTGTGTCTGTTACATGTAGTATGTGAGGCAGGGCAGAGAGTAATGGTAGTTGGTGGAGGTCTGACCAGCGCTCATGTCGTCTCAATTGCCCTGCAGCAAGGGGCCAGCCATGTGACATGGGTCATGAGAAAACACCTGCAGGTCTAGTGACTATGTAAAACAGCATGTGGATCAAACAATAAAAACAACACTGCAGGGGCATATTTGTTTTCCAAACATAGCCTTGTTTAACCTTTCTCCCTTAGCTGAAACAATTTGATGTCGGTGACGTGGAGAGTCTGGTAGGCCGTTACTCTCATGTGGAGCATGGCATAAAGATGGATGGCCAGGCCTACCTACGGCAGTTCTATAATGAACGCAGCCTTCACAAACGTCTGGCTATGATACGCCAGGCAAGGAAAGGAGGCGCCATCACCCCAGAGGCATACATCCACCTTCAGCCATCCATAGAGAGTGGACAGGTGGAGCTGAAGACATTCTGCCAGGTAATGCAACATGTGAATGCCTGCCTGTAGGCGCTTTGAATAAAACTATTACTGTAAAACAGCATAACTGTCATGTTTCAGCCACAGATAGACACTAGGACTGAGCTGTTGGCAAAGCTTGGTGTGTTTATTTAGGGCAATCCAGGTAATCTTGGTCAGAAAAGCAGAGGGTCAAAGCCAGGGAATCCAAGGTTGGGAAGAAGTTCAGGCAGGCAGAATAACTGGATAAAAATATAAAAGAAAACAAGTAGGTTAGATCTTGCCAGACCTGGTCTGTTTTAGCAAATGGCCTGAATGTGTTACCACTGGATGCAGACAACAATCTGGCCTTGTGCAGGTGGAGGATCCGTCCTTCAATGGCTGCAACTGCTGATTAGAGTGATGAATCCCAGGTGTGTGGGTCACAGCAGGGGAGCAGGTGTGACAATAAATTTGAGCTAAGGTTTTATTTTAAGTCTGTATAACTCAAAGACTGTTAGTAACAGTTATTACAGGACATGTTCTTTCCCTGCAGGGATTACACTGCGAAGCAGAAAATGCTATTTTGGGTTGGCTCAGAAAAATCCTCGTGTTTATGTTAACAACTGTATACAATATTTTTAGAACACAACGGTGGTTAGATAAGAAAAACAAGCTGAGCAATTTGTTGATTTTACCAGTTAGTTTCTATTGGTTTATTTGTGGATCAACTGGTTAACTGTACAGGTGAACGAGGCCAGCTGGTGTTACAGGTCCCAAACCTGGAATCTGTCCCTCAGCTCTGGGGACCAATGGACTGGAGATAGGATCTGGCTCGCAACTGGCTGCAAACTTGATGTGAAACAGGACCCACTTCTTTCTGATGTAATGAAGAAATTCCCGATACAGGTAGGTTAGGTAAATCCATCAAAAAGCTAGATTTGTCCTTTTTTTGTTTGTGTTGTGTTTCAACTTACTGTTGTGCTATCTTGAAGTATTTTCACTTATATCCGTCTTGTCAACCTTGAAGGTGGTTGATGGTTGGCCTTGTATATTAGAAAGCTTACAGTGGATGGAAGGATGCCCACTCTACCTGATGGGACAGTACACTGCTCTTCAGGTAGGCTTCATTTTGAATGCCTCACTGGAGAAATCATGGTTCCAAAAAAATAAGGTCCAGTCTTCTTCTGTTTTCCATATTTCTACACAGATTGGACCTCATGCTGTAAATCTAGCTGGAGGACAGGCTGCAAGCATGAGAATTGCCAAGGACATTGTGCATTACCAGAAGCAAAACAGAGAACAGGATCCTCAAATAGGACAAGTCAAATCCAGAATTGAAGAATATATCAAGCAGATGGAAGGACTTTTTTGGCTTTGATTTTCCCCTTTTAACTTTCAGATGTCATTGAAATATAAGCTTCATCTGTAACATATAGTAATCAATTGGTATTCTATAACATGATTATGAGGGGCATGATTCAGAGGAGGACATCATGAACGTCATAAAATTGAAAAAGTAAAAAAAGGCCCCTTTGATTGTGTTATTAAGTTGTTTTCCAGTATTGTGATGTTTTGAATTTTAGGATTTTTTGTTTTGTTTTGTTTTTTGTGTTTTATTTCGATTTTCTTGTGGATGTTCTGCATTTTATTTATTCTTTATTTTTCTATTGTTTTACTGTTACCAGCTGGCATTTTGACACAAAGCCCCTCTGGAGTCAATATAAAGTAGTTGTGTTGAATTTTGTTTACATTTTTTAAGTTTAATCAATGAAATAGAAAAGTTGAAATCACGATTGAAATAATGATGATTACCCATACAACTGGTTAACATATCAATGCTGAATCAAAGGTGAGTAAACACCATTTCAACTGTTATTTAAAAAACAAAGTGGGTATTATATACCAGCTGTTTGCTAAAACCTTTTATTGTGTTTTTGTGTGAATGAAAGAAAATAAAGATTGAACAAATATTGTTTTTTTTTTTCATTTTGAAGTGCAGTTTGGTTGAATAAAAAGAAACATTACACATGTAGGTTTAAATATTTCACAACTATCTGATTTTTTGCTAACATTCTAGTTTTGTTTTCTTGTATAGCAAATCATGATGAAAAAAAATCAGATCTTTTGTTTTTTACACTTATTATTACACTTAATTAATTCTAAAAGCTGGTATAGTATGGAAGCCAATCGTTACCATATTTAAAATTAAAAAGCATTTTTTTAGAAATGCTTTTTTATTGTACTGTAAGACTGTGGCTGCATTGTTTGACTCATAAATGAAATTATCAATCAATAATCCTGTTTGCATTTTCATTTTCTTCTTTAACACCGCTCATCCTTTTACTTAATTAAAATGAAAAAGAAAAAGACATTTGAGATTTATTTTTCGAAATGTACCCCAGCAAATACATACCAAAATTCAATTTGAAATGTAAAATTTAAAAATAAAAAAGCATTTCCAGAAATGCTTTTTCATTTTAAGAATGTGGCTGCATTATTTGGCTTATAAATTAAATTAGTAATCAATCGTCATATTTGCATTTAAATTTTCTTCTTCAAGACTGCTCATCCTTTTACTTAATTAAAATGAAAAAGAAAAAAATCATTTGGGATTTATTTTTCAAAATGTACTTGAAATATATTTGAAATGTAACATTTGAAAATGAAAAGGCATTTCTGGAAATGCTTTTTCATTTTCAAATTTTCAAAATTTACATTTCAAATAGAATTTTGGTTTGCATTTGCTGGGGTACATTTTGAAAATAAATCTCAAATGTCTTTTTCTTTTTCATTTTAATTAAGTAAAAGGATGAGCGGTGTTAAAGAAGAAAATGAAAATGCAAACAGGATTATTGATTAATAATTTCATTTATGAGTCAAACATTGCAGCCACATTCTTAAAATGAAAAAGCATTTCTGAAAATGCTTTTTCATTTTAAATATGGTAACGATTTGCTTCCATAGTATAGACAAGACTTTTTAAAAGGCAGAAATAATAAAAAGTCATTTCTGTTATGTAGACATTATTATTAAGAATAGCAGAAGTAGTATTTTAATATATTTCTTACAAATAATATTATCCCAATATTATCATCAAAATATCCTTATTTACAAACTCAGCTATTTACGGAAGAGGATTAGGGCCAATGGAAAAAAAAAAAAAGTTTACTGATTTTTAAATATTATTTTATTATATATTATTTATTTATTTTAATATGGGAAAAAGTTAGAATTCTGACTTTAATCTCAGAATTTTGGAAGTTAATGTAGATGGGCACCATGAAGGAAGAGATGTGGGAGCACTCAGCTTCACTGTAAGTTGTTTGGGAGGGCCAGTGACACATTGGTGGAAAATTGTGGAATTAGGTGACTTTTTACATACCAGAGGGGTCCCCGGTGATGCTGTTTTAGTAATGGAAAAGCAGAAGGTGATCAAAACAAGAGAGCTAGTCTGGCTACAGCTTGTACTAACATTTTTGTTAGCTGTCAGAATTCAGCCAGAATTCTGAGAAAAAAGTCAGAATTCTGGGGTTAAAGTAAGAGTTCTGAGATTAAAGTCAGCATTCTGGGAAAAAATGCAGACTTCTCAGAAAAAAAATGCAGACTTCTGAGATTAAGGTAAGAGTTCTGAGATTAAAGTCAGCGTTCTGAGAAAAAAGGATGACTTCTGAGAAAAAAGTCAGCGTTCTGAGATTAAAGTCAGAATTCTGGGATTAAAGTCAGAATTCTGAGGTTAAAGTCAGAATTCTGAGATTAGAGTCAGAATTCTGAGATTAAAGGCAGACTTCTGAAAAAAAGTCAGACTTCTGAGAAAAAAGTCAGAATTCTGAGGAAAAAAAAAAATCAGAATTAAGAGGTTAAACTGTTTTCTCATATTATACTGAAAAAAAACAACAACTAAAAATCAGTTAACTTTTTATATTTTTTCCTGGCCCTAATCCTCTCCCGTAGCTATTAGGAGCATAGATATCCATAATAAAGGCCTTTATTATGGATATCTATGTTTAGGAGTACGTGTTAAGCCCCGCCCCCATTCCACTTCCGCCTTTTAATCCAAGAGGATTCATATTTAACCAGTTGAACATTTATGTGTATTTGTATGTTTTTAGGCATCAGTTACCCACAAAAACGGACAGTTTTATTTTCGTGCAGGTGAGTGTGTAAAAATATAAGCAGGTGACTTGGTTTTATTTCGCTGCTGACGTTGAAAATTCAGACAACAGAGAACCAGAACTGTGAATCTTTATTGTTCTGTTGATGATAAATGAAACCTTTGTGAACGTGACTGTGGTGGCAGCAGGTGTAAATAAGGTGTCCAAAAAAACAAGAACCACAGATTCAGGAAACGCTTGGCCGCAAATGGGGAAGTGACGACGTGTACGACGTGATAATTTACGTTTCTCTGCTGTAAAACTAAAAAAAAGACAAGTTTGTTTGAAAGTGGACCTAGCAGTTGGGGGACAAAGTCAGCTGAACACGGTTTGAAGTAACATTGGTTAATCCACTGTTTGTATGCCTATTCGATCTGTGCTGGGTTTGATTAATCTTACGTCTCTATTTATTTGAATATGAAATCAGAAGGCTAGCAGATGTAGCCCTGATCATTTCCCTCATCTCTCCCTTCAAATCTTCACTACCTCCAGCTTTTCCTCCTGCCACACAAAATATATATTTCATTTGTTGTTTTCCAAACTTGAAGGACATGTTTCCCCTTTTATAAATGTCCTACAAAACAACAAACATTTATAAACATGTGCAACACAATTTTGATTTTTTTCCTTGTATATATTACTATTTCTTTGTATTTAACACTGTTTTCAAGGCTGCACTTTTAAATATGAAATTGTCTAGAGCTGTTCTAAACGAAATTTCTTTTTGTTTACACTCTTGTATACAAAATGACAAAATAAATCTAAGTTTTATTTTATTTACAAGCAGAAATATGTTGCAAAAATGGCACAAACATGTATTTTTGATAGCCTTTGCTCCGTTGTTTAAATTTAATGGTTCCACTTTTATTAACAACAAAAAATGAACAACTCTAACTTTAACATCTAATATAGAATCAATCATTTCTTAGGCCTTAATGATACAAAAAAAATCTTTCACCCTCAGAGTAGACTGCTATACAACCTTCATCAGTTTATCAGTGTATGAATTCTTACTAACTTGTATTGCTAACCATAAATAGTCAGGTTCTTTAGAATATCAATAGGTGAATCCTACTCATGTTTAAAGTTCGTATTATCAGAACTGATATGAGGTAGCCTCCGACACTTGTTCCACTTCTCCTCTTCAGTTTTTACTGCAAATTCTTGACCTTTTTCTTGGCACTGAACTTCTCTTTTAAGTAGTTTTATAAGGAAGCAAAGCTCAGATGTCTGAGTGACTCATATTTTCCAGTTGGGGGTTATTGGCACTACATCACAATTGACCTGTTTTTATTCACCTTCAAATTAGATTTTGCCCAAATGTCCCCTAAATTTAACGAAGGACGATTCAAGTTACACACCAAGTTTTCCCCAAAAACAAAAGAGAGTGATCTCTAATTGAAAAACATCTATTTTTTTGTCTTTTTAATTGAAGTTAATCTCTTTTATAAAGAGTGGTAAATCGTACTGTATGTACTGCAGTGCCTCGTGGAATCCTACACAGACGAAATGAATGTAAAGAAGGTGGTGAAGACGGTGCTTAGTGTGGAACAAGCAGAGGGAGTGGGTGCTCGGGTCCGTAGGAGCATCGGTAGGAAAGAAGTAAGCTCCTCAAGCAAAATACACCAACTCCCTGAGACCTTTGAATAAGTAAACACATTAGATATGAGAATACTTTTTATTAGTCCTTGTGTATTTTCCTTTTCAGCTGAGGAACTTGGACCCTTTCCTGATGTTGGATGAGTTCAAAGTGAGCAAGCCTGCAGGTTTTCCAGACCATCCTCACAGAGGATTTGAGACGGTAAGCGAACAGAACACATCAAAAGGTTTATAAAACTTTTACCATCTGGGTTTTTTGTAATTTGGTTATTTAAATGTAATCGAGTTGATCTAGTTAATACAATATCTTATTGTGTCAGGGCTGTGGTGGGGCTGGTTTCTATCTCAGGCAGTCTATGGGCGAGAGGTGGGGTCCACCCTGGACAAATCGCTAGTCTGTTGCGTTATCATTGATAATAATAATTGTAAATAATAACAGCATTCACTATTTCCTGTATCGTTAAGGATAATATATTATCTTTAAAAAAAAAAAATAAAAATGTACTGGATAATTTTTTAATGCCAAGCGCATCTGTTCAGTCTTTATAAAACCATTAGTCCATCCCAATTTACAATATAACTACAGACTTTTTCATCAGGTGCTTTCTTCCTTACATTTAGACAAAAAAAAAATCACATTAAATTTATTTTAATTCACTTAGTTTACATTTTGTTGCAAAGAATTTTTTAATAGCATATTTTGGATGACAGTCTAAAGATATGCATATGTGTGCTTCCTTTTTAAATCTAAACGATAACTTGAGTTGAGCGGCAGACGGTGAGATTGTTATTTTAACACTAGATGGCGACCATCTGCAACAGTATGCTGTCCTGTTTCCTCAGTGTTACTCAAGAAAAATAATAATTGATTATTACAGAGCTGTTAGACAGGTTCTGGCCTTCTGAACTGTCCATAACCCTAATGGAAGTCATCATAGTACTGAATCAAATGCTTCAATATGTCAGCTGTGAATAGAGGAGTTGTCCTACTAACAAGCTTTCAGAACACATCGAATTTAATTCTTTGCCTTCGGTCCTCTTTTCACATTTTATAACTAATGGCTGCATCTTTGAATTAAATCTACAAACCCAAACAATGTCATTAGGATCCCAGACAGCCCCCTTATTGTTCTTGATTTAGCAGATATAAGCTCTGTCTCCCTGTGTGCATGAACAGGGTTGGGCTTCACTCTCAGCATGCCTTTCTGAAAGCATGTTTGCTGACCCCCACACAGCTTTTGAAATCACACAGCTGTGGAGATGGATAACACAGGGTTCACCTCAGGGGTTTGAACTGTCCTCCCTCACACAGATGTTCACCTTTGAGCCCACAACATTTCAGCATTTCTCTTCCCTGCCTATCAGAGCACTGCAGAGGAATGGAATGAATACAGGTATTAGTGCTGACAAAGCACTTTTTGTAGTGGAACAATTCCCAGAAGTAATTAAAATCTGCAGCAAATGTATCCCAGTTTTATATTTCATTTTTACAGAAGATGGGCACAGTTTTGAGAGGTGCATTGTCCTTCAGTGACCAAGTTTTTTGAATTGTTGTAAATATCCTTGTTGGATCTAAAATTTTATTTATGTCAACCAAATGTATTTTGTTTCATTAGATTCAAAAGAAAACCAAGAAAGCAAATGGTAGCAGAGGGACATAAGTGCAAGAATGCCAGTCATCAATTAAGTCATTTCAGATGAATCTGGACACTTAGTTTCTTTTTTTCCTTCTTTTTATGTTATTTGTAACTGTGTCCTATCTGGCAATGTGGCAATAAGAATAATTGTCTTGATGCCAAAAAGAGCCCAACAGATTTCACTTTCACAAGTGGAGCAGTACAGCTATCGCCATAGTGTTCCGCTAGATTTATGCATATAAATAGCTTTATTTTAATTATGCAGGAAGTTTTACAGATTATATGGACACTGCAATGTAAGTAGAACAGGAAAGGAAAAACAGAAAAAAAGAAGAAAAGATGAAAGAAAGAGGAGATAAAAGGGAGGTAACAATAAAACATCTTCAGTCTGCCTCATAACCTGTAAAGAGATGTTAAAAGGACGGCACAACCAACGGACATGGGATCCGAGTTCAGACGGACTGAACAGGCCCCAGGGGCACCCCAAGCCCTGGCGGGAGCCCTGGCCGAAATTTTTATTAATTTATGTGTATGTGTGTGTGTCGTTTTCTGTAATCAGACACAGTATTAGTTTCTGTTTTCACAGTGTGTCTTTTTTGTTTTTGTTTTTTCAGGTCACTTATGTTTTAGAGGGAATCACAGCCCACGAGGACTTCTGCGGTCATTCTGGACGTCTGAAACCTGGAGATTTACAAGTACTAAATTGATCTGGAAGCCTGACAACAATGAGACAAATATGATCCATGATTAACTTGTAAATATAATGCTGCAGCTTGTTCAAGGCAACAAAAAGACGCTTAAAACAAAAAATGTGTTTTCTCTGTCTGCCAAAACTAGCTAGTAAGCTTTGTTTTAAAACAGTTTTTTGCCATCAGTAGATTTTCCGCATCTTCCATGTTAGATACAGTTTCTTTCCCTGATATCATTGTGAATGAAGCTAACTTAGCAGAAAAGCTAATGTTGCATATAAAGAGCCTTAATATCAACACATACGCTTTATAAACATGCAAAAATCACAGTAATTAGATATTATGCCCTCAAGACTGTTTTTAAAGCGGTGAGATTAACACGACTGGGCAAGTTTATTTATAGAGCACATTTCAGTAATAAGACAGTTCCAAGAAAGTGCTATACACGAAAATAATTATTAAGAATAATATACTGCAATGAAACGATTAAATAATTAATAAACATGACAGATTCAAGAGATTAAAAATAATTTTTTAAAACAAGATTGGAAAAAATTGTGATAAAATGATTGATAAGAAAAAATAAAAGGAAAGTTGGAGTACAAACCTAGATGATGATGTTGAGATGTTAAAGTCAAAGATGTTAAAGTCAAAGTTTTTTTATATCTTGATTTAAAGCAACTTTAGATTTTTTGCAGTTTAACTGACATGCTGTTGGGGTCTCTCAAAATATGGGTAGAGAAAGAAGAATACACCCTCTGCTGTTAATGCATCTGCTCACTCAGCTTCAATTTGTTCAGTCTGTCCGACTGCTTTGAAACGAATCGTGATGCTCTGTGAGCGATTCTGTTGCAAGACAATAGAATTTACATAGACTCCTGGATAGTTGTGTAAACGTGCTCAAAAACCAAGCGAAAGTCTGGTAGCCTTCTAATTTAAGCCAGTTGGTGGTTGCCATGACCCAGATGACTGAAAATTTACACAGGCAAGATAAAGAATCTGATCAATGATTTGAAATATTCTTATAACAAAGCATATTTACATTAGCCATTCAGAGAGAATTTGTTTCCTTAAAATAAAAAAACCTATGCAGCCAATGTGTCTTTTCAAACTGTATTTCTGCTTTTAATTGGTGTTTCATTGCACATGATTAGCTCACTTTTTTAATAGACACTAAATATTAATGTAGTGTCAATCGATAGTAATTGGCTAATATTCTTAAAATTGTGATCACCATCTTTTGTTACCAATCACCTGGTGTGCAGCGTTTCTCCCTCTTTCCTTCTCATTGTGCAGTGCAGCTGCAAATCCTAAGTGGTTGAATTTGTAAATCTTATGTTTGAGATTAATGTGAAGTTTGAGTCTATTAATGGAAAAATTCCCTGCAGGTGAAGCGCATCAAACTGGGTCAATAAAGCAAATACAATGTGACATCTAAAAACAAGCACTTGATGGAGTGTGATGAGATATCGAGGCACGAATGAAGCAGTGCACAATTACACTCCTCCATGAACACGATGTTTAGGAAGAAAAAATAAGCCCAAAAATTATTTAATAATCGGGTAAAGGTTCAATTCAGTTTAAATCAGTTTATTTGTATAGCACCAATTCACATTCACATGTCATCTCAAGGGCATTTTAAATTTCAACCAGATCACAAAGTCAGATTGATTCAAAGTTTTCTTTATAAGGAAAACCAGTTGATTAGGTCCAGCAGTGAAAGATGGATGGAGATCGATGAAGGATTTTCATTCGTCCTTTTGAATAAATATGCTGATGAAGATTCTCCGTCATCCAGGTCATAGTCATTCCGTAAAAGTTTAAAAAACAATCCACTGGACTTGGTTTCCAAAGGCTTGAAGACTTTTCGCTTCCCCTCCAGGAAGCTTTCTCAACAGACATTTGACATTTGAATTGAGAAAGCTTCCTGGAGGGGAAGCGAAACGTCTTTAAACCTTTGGAGACCAAGTCCAGTGGATTGTTTTTTAAACTTTTACGGAAATTTGAATAAATACTTTCTGCAGTCTGCAAGTTTTTTTTTTTTGTGTTTTTTTTTTTGTCCAAATTTGGTCATTTTATGATTCAGTTTAGCCAGATAACAGTTGTTACATTTATACCTAAATCAAAAAACAGCCAATCCATGTGATGGATAGTTATCATTATCGGCTGCGATCAGCCCTCTGGGTGATCGCTATTGGGATTGCCGTCAAAAATCCTCATCGGAGTATCCCTACTACATACTAACAGATGAAAATAGGATTAAAAGTGTAAAGGAAGAAAAATAAAAGCTTGAGCTGGTTTCCTCTATGCTTTTCTCTTCTTGTTATTACCTTTAAACTTGAGAACAGCTTCATAATAAGCTTGATATCACAGTTGTAACTTTATAGATATCCTTAAGAGGGAATGTATGCGTCTCTTCTTTTCTTACTGAAATGATGATTGTGTCATTGTCTGCCAGTGGATGACAGCGGGGCAGGGGGTGGTCCATGCTGAGATGCCTGTGTCAGAGGAGCCAGTGGTGGGACTGCAGCTGTGGGTAAACCTCCGAAAACAAGAGAAGATGGTTAAACCAGCATACCAGGAGCTTAAAAGCTCAGAGATCCCCAAACCCAGCCAGGGTGGAGTTACAGTCGCTGTGATTTCTGGAGAAGCCTTGGGAGCCAAGGTGTGTGCTTCTTTGTGTGAGAATCTTTATACACATGTTCATCATCAGAAAGATCAGAATGCTGCATCAGCAATTTGAATTCTCTTTAGCTTTATTGTACTTATGCTCCTGGATAGGACCTTTTATTTACCATGTTGACCGCATTGTCTGGAAGGCATGTTTGGGAATAGAAAGCTAGAAATGAGAAACAGATTATTTTTGCATGCTGGATGATGACTGTCATTTTGTGGCATTTCCACATAGTTGATTTCTTAGATGTGTGAACATCAGTGGATTCTGAGGAGAAGTCTGCTTTAGAAAATTCAACTAATGACAAACTAGGCCAATTAAATAACTGAGAGTGAGGGTATAATAGTTATGTTTTGAATTATGTGGCCATAAATTGACCTCAAGACTAAAGGAATCAACACACTGGCTCAGTTTGCCTAGTAATTTATTTTCTTGTGACAAAGAGGGTTTTGTGTCATATTACTAAAACATTCTAGGAGAAAGTCTTAAAGTGCAATAAATATTTCCTTATACTCATGGTAAATTTAAATTAATCAATTTGGTAAAGACTCTTTAGCCAAAGTAGAGGTGTGTCAGCACACGCCATGATAAATGCTGTGTGATAAGTGCTGGCAACTACTTCCTTACTTAGCGGCTCTAAGTAGCTATTTGCAATCCCACAATCCTTTGTAGGACATGATATATAACCACAGCCCACCTTATGGAAATAACTAAAAATACATTCTACGAGTTGTGTAATGGAGAGCTAAAGCTAATCATTCCATTAATATAATATTTATATATATATTTTGAAGCACTGTAGTTTGAGACTTGACTGACACTGTCCCTGAGTGTTTTTGTTGCGTAATGACATCAAGAAGGCTAGAAGCTGTCCAGATTTGGCACAGCAATCTACCTGTCCCATCAGGATAAAGTTCAAGTTCTTACAGCTGATCCGAGGACGGATGAAGGAATGGGAGTTATAAGCTACTATCTGATAAATTCAGATGCAGCTTTTTAGTGCTTCAAATCCTGTTCTTGGTTTTTCTTATGTCATGTTGAATTCGTAGAGAAGATTTTTCACTTTTGGAAAGCTTCTCTGCTAATCTGTTTCAAATTTCTTTTTTCCTTTTTTTTGTTTACTTTTGTTAATTCTTCTCTACTGATTGAGGTTTGCTTGAGCTTGTCTTTGAGTTTCACCTGTTCTTAATTTTTTCTCATTGGGAATGATTCAATTCCATTCAACTCAATTACATTTAATTTGAGATACTTTAACCAGATCATGCAGTTAGATTGGTTCAAAGTTTTCTATTTAAGTAAAACCAGCTGATTGTATTGAGTCACTGACATGACTGCAACCCCTCACACTGAGATTGCATATAGCGACAGTGGAGAGGAAAAACTCCCTTTTACATGAACAATCTGCTGCTTAGTAAGAGCTTTTAGCTTACTTCATGTTGTTAGACATGTTTTTGTTACTTTCTTCATATTGTTATGGGTTAAGGTAAAAACAAGATTAAAACATTTTGTGATTTTAAAATGGAGTAACAATTTTACAGAATTTGTCAGTTTGGTCCTGCTAGTTTTCTCATTGATTTTTAGCAACTCCTTTTAAATATTAAAGGAAATAAAAGCGTTTCCATTGCGCTGTACATCAATAATTAGTTTTGTTTATATGCTGACATCCGACTGAGTTAAAAAAAAAAAAAAAACGGTAATTAAACAGTCTCTTTAAGTATTTCTTTCTGATATTAGTCTGAATGTCATTAAACTGTCTTTATAAACAAAAAATTCTATATATTTGTGTAGTCAGGCAAATTGGAATAGTATCTTATTTTAGTGTAAAAATTTATTTTAAAAAGAATTAAAAAAGACCTTTGAATAATGGTATTAACCCATTAAATAATGCACATGCCTTTTGCTTTCTTGGTTTTCCCTACTATCAGGAAAAAAATATTTATTTATAACATTACTTAAATTACCAGGGTTTTATCGGGCTGCTATAAATGATAAACATGAAGGTTGAAGATACAATTCCAGGTAGATCTATTATAATAATAAAAAATACCAAATAAGGAATGTGTATCTTTAAGTTGAAGTTCATTCTGTACCTTTTTTTTTTCTCTCCTTTAACAGTCGAAGGTCTACACAAGAACACCAACCTTGTACTTGGACTTCAAACTGCAAACTGGGGCCATACATGTGCAGCCAGTCCCATCTGGTAAGAGAATAGTGATAAAAAGCACTGCTGTAAAACCCAGAAATGCATTGGATGTAACAAAATCACTGAAGCAAACCTACTTAAAAACATCAAACCGCTGCCTTGAAGCTGATAGGTCTTGTCCTTGTTTTCTCCTGTTGCTTCATATTATTGGAAATGTTTTGTTTCCTAATATCACTGCTGTAACACAATTTACATCAGACTGTAGTGATTATTTTGATAGAAAAAATACCTTTAATTTATTTTTGAGAATTGAAGATTTAGGCAATAGAACCAGAGAAGGTCGGTGCTTTTTATAAAATTATAAAATGTTGTATTTTTAAACTTGAAACGACATTTCATTGTTTGGCAGGATGGACTTCTTTCATTTATACCCTCTCTGGAACTATTCATGTTGGTGAGTTTTTCAGCTTTCTTAACTCACAGCTGTGCTCTATATATGCAACTCCATTTCAAAATATATTTCTATTAGAAGATTTTAGGTATTTTTGACAAGTAAGGACGTGTCTGATAATGTAGGTGGTACCGACAAACTTCTGTTATATAATTTCACTGCTTGACCTGGTGAAGAAATTCTTGGTCCTTCTCACTGGCCAGACATGGTAGATTCAGGAAACTCCCTTTGCATGAGAACAAACCATTTCTGACACCAGAGCCAGGCTTTACTGGTTTGTTTGAACCAATTTTAATATTCTCTCAAAACATCTTGTTATGTTTGATTACCGTCCTTTGTTGTACTGAAGAATTACTTGACTAAATGCGATCAAAACCAGATGTTTTAATGACATGAGAGGATAAGAGGGGATGCCGAGACTAAAGAAGTCTCTAACTCTGCATGTAGTCTGGCCTAAATCAGAACCATCTGTCGTTGATGAATATATCCAAGAAAGTTGCTATTGTCCATCTCTCCTAGCAGTCAGTCTCAATGTGTTACCATTTTCATAGTACTGTCTTTGGTTTTAAAGTGATTCATATTTATTACTACTTACTAAGATTTTACAATAAATTAGGCGATGTTTTGAACTCTTATGGTCCAATAAGTGACCAGGGACCTCCTATACAATACGGTGCAGCTTTCATACTAAAGGTTTGTGGAAGAGAGAAATACTGAAATTTGCAACACAGACAAAATTTCAGATGTTAGAGTCTGTGCGTACATGTTTCATCGCACGTGTTACCTTCAAACATATGCCAATCAGTATAAACACCCAGAAGGGAGCCACCAGCTGTCCAAATAACAATCGCCACATTGCTGTCAGGCAGTCTTAGAGAAACATTGTCAACACACCTAAGGGATATTTGTTACAGACAACCGACAGTAGACATAAAGCAGCTGAAAATAAAATATGTCAGCGTTTTTGTTTTGCATTGTTTGTATCAGGACTAAAAGGAGCTCTCTGTGTGCTGCATCGAGCTCCATTATTCTAATATATAACAAGTCATTATGATTCACAAGAATGTGCACCTCATAGTCCTATTAGCAACCTATCACCCAGCACACAGCCTGCTTTGTGTGTTCTGTGAAATTTTTGTGCATCACAACAGCAATATTTAAATGTCAAATCATTCTGGCTTTAACATGTATATAAATTTACTCTTTATCAGACCATATTGTCCCAAAAGTTAGAAAATCTCTATTTAAGAAAAATTCTGTCTTAAAATCTGTTTTTTATTTTATGCAGGCCAGTTAGTTATACATCAGCTTGTTCACCTAAATTCGGCCAATCATATATCAACGGTCATCTGTCAATCAAATTTTTCCAGTCATAGCATCTTGATTCATTTGTCGCAGCTAAAATATGCAACGGTTGAAATAAGAAATGAGAATCATTTTTTTTTTATGACTTTACCATTGAGTTACGTCCCAGTGTTCACGGCGATGGGCGTCTGTGCTAACAGACAGCTAACAGAACTGGCAGCGTTGTGAGGCAAGGGTTCAAACATGTACGGCTGTAAGCCTTCTACACCAAACCAAGCTTCTGCCGCCCTGGCGTCCTCTTCCACAACAACTTCATCCCCACTTTCCTCCTCTAAATAAAAATGTATGACTAAGGAGACTCACCCACGACCTCCGACACAAAACTCCTATTCTCTTGCATGTTTCCGCTGTCCATAGCGTTCCTTGACAGTGTCGTTTCTAAATGCTACTTGGTCCCAATGTAATTTCCCATTGGGAACTTACTAGCACTAAGCTGCTAACTGATAAGCAAGATGCTTCTGACAAACTGGCCACAATCAACCTTGCTTGCGAATCTTCCGCCACAGCAATCCCGCCCCCTTGATAAACGAACAATCACATTCACTTTGTTCACTCGTGTGAAGTCGAGCACCACTAGGTAGAATTCGGAAATGCAACCATTTGAACAGCAGCTTCCCTACGACTTTAAGGAAAACGATCTCTTCTTAAAGGAGAATTCATTCACAGATGGTGCCCTTATGAGGACAGTCATAGCTCTGATTACCCTTGGAAATTGGCTTTTCAATTCAATTTGCAATTTTTGTATATACAGTTTGTATTAAATCATAAACTACATTATATTATATATCTAAGCAACATATGGGTGAGGTCATCACATTTGGCTGGCATGGAATGATATACCAGACTTATTAATCAGCTCCAAAAATTCATTTTCTGAGAGTGCATTTGTGAGAAACTGAACCAGTACTGGTGATGGCCGGTTCCTCCCACTACCCTTTTGTGATGCAGGTCAATCTAAACCAGCAAATAAGTCACTTGTTATTATGACCCAGCACATTAGCAAAGGCTGGTTCTCCATAACAATCCTTGCTTTCCTTCGATATTGGGAGCCACTGGGGACTGATTATCGGGGAGATTGGTGTTTGGTTTCTTCATAGTGAGGAGATATGTTCTGTAGAACAGCTCCTCTGATTGCAAATCTCTCTTATATTACAAAGCTAAGGCAACTAAAATGCTGTGGAGTCTACTTGAAACTAAGTAATTTCACACAATTTGTTGAATCTGTGCCGAGAAAGGTAGTTTACTCAGCTAAAGGTGTCAAACAATAGTAGAATAGTGGACAAAACAAATGGCAGGTTATGTGTGTATTGAGTGGTAAAGGTTCTCCTTAGAGAGAAAATGAAATATGAAATGCATTTGTGTTTAAATATCCATTTTCTTTGCTTTTTCAGGCCCAGGGGAGGATCTGCAGCAGGTGGAGCCCCATCACACCGTGGTTTTTGGAGATGGTGATTGTGTCAGGTTTGAAAACAAGGTATAAAAGTTAAAAGATTAAACACTTTGTCCCCCTACAGACATAGTCGAAAGGACTTAAGTCAAAAATTGTAAATTTTTCAGAAAAAGTGTGTTATGGGCTACAGGTTTTTTTAGGTGTCATTTAGAATCAGGACAAACAGTTGCAGAAAGTGTTTCCCTTTGTCTTTATTGTGTATTTGTCCGACTGATGTACTACTGCATCAGGGTTAGGGTTATTGCTGTCATGATGCAGGGTTAAGTTCCCCTTCTGTTTAAAATTCTAACACCCTATGAAACTTGGAGAGGTCTTTTTGGATTCTATGATGGTGACCTGAACAGGTAAGGCTGTGGCAAAGTGTTCCCACACCATGATGCTTCCACCTCCGTGCTTTTACTTTATTATGAAGTCCTTTCCTGGAAGGCTGTATTTGGTTTACACAATATGTCTTTCATTATTCTGCTCAACTATTTTATTTCCAAAGAACATAAATCCAAGAGTCCTCATCTCTTGGCTTTTTGTTTTTGTGGTGCACTTTACTTTGACCTTGATGTGTTTCATCGAGTTACTTTCTTACAAACATTGTCACACCTAAAAGTTACACTTGGAAGGTCACAGATTATATATACAAAAATCGGGTATACAAAAAAGATTAGATATTTTTCTTTATCTATCTACAGGGTTCTGAGATTTCTCATTTTGTGCTGATTGCTGGAGAGCCGATCAACGAGCCTGTGGTACAACAAGGTATATTATATTCCTTTACTTTCTAGTAAACAAATATGTGGCTCTGTGCTTTTAAGAAATTATGACAAAAGCTTTAAGCTTTTGTATATTAATGTATGTTGTCTGGCCTTCAGGTCCATTTGTGATGACCACTGAAGAGGAGATCAAACAGACTATCTTGGACTTCCAGAATGGAAGAAATGGCTTTGAAAGAGCCAAAAACTGGAGGTCCAAAATCAGAGATTCTACCTAAGCAGAGCAACTTTATCTCAGGTTTCTATTTTGGTGCAACAAAAAAAATGTTATTATGAATTAGAGCAAATGGGGTAAACTTGAATCAGCAATATTTATAATTAGTTTTCTCAGATATTTTACTTATGCTGTTTGAAGTAATAGAGCTATTTGAAAATATGCTAATGTTGACTTAATTAGGTAAAAATAACATAAGGTATGATTAATTTGTCTTTTTATATTTGTTGAAATAAGCTGTTGGGTTCTTGTTTTTATATTTTTCGTATATTATGACTTGCTCAATCCATTCTTTACTTTTCTGTTTTCACGGCCTTAAGCCTTAAATCTTCAAATAATGTCACAATTATCTGTCCTGTTACTGTAGATAACATTATCGACATACATTGTTTCCTACTGCTGTGTTCGGATTCTTTTACAAAAAAAAAAGGGTTTAGAATTTTGGTGGGAAAGTTTATTCAGCTAAATAACCAAACAACACTATGGAGGAGTAATCTGTTCTCGAATCAGCACTTTATAAATGTAGTTTTTCAGATTTGTGGAAATATGATTTAAAGGAAAAGTCCGGTCAGCAAGGAATAATCAATAGATCATTATCTATACCTGAAACTAATATGTTCAGTCATTTAATGAATTTAGCATTACCGTAATCAGGAAAAACAAATTCTCCCCACTTTAAAAGCCAAATCAATGGGAACTACTTGACACATCTGCAATCAACAACAATTATTCAAGATTTCGAGAGCACTTCAAAATGTAAATTGGCAAGAGCTATAGTTAAACTGACAATGCCCACGTGCACAGCAGTTGGATGTTGTAATACATTGGGTAAAATTGAAAAAAAAAATTAATTATTTTACCTTTCTGATTCATGATCGACGGGTTGGATTGCCAACTTGAAGAGGATTTGCCATCAAACCTCTAGCCAGAGAAAAAAAAACACTCAATATGTAGCAAACATTTTAAGAATAGTGTTTTCAAGATGACTCAGTTAAAAGTGGGTTGTGAAATAACACCAGATACAGCACTGGGACTTGCTCAACAGCCGATACCATACCGTGACGACCGGTAGGTGGCAGTAGTGTTCTTTGACAAACATGAATGTCTCCGGTAAGGCACATTCAAATTGAAATTGCTCTTAATTAAAACACTTATTTTTTGAACAGTATGTCATAATTTCATATTTAAAGTACTTTCAGAATTTTGAATTCTGAATCTGACCGGACTTTTCTTTTAAATGTGTTTAACATGATTGTGGAAAAGATGGCGTAAATTGAGCAAATGAAAAAGCACCAGTTCTGGTTGCGCTGCTAATTAAAGCATGCCTCACTGATGAAGAGCGCTTTAATAGCTGGTATTCTCTGGAAACATTGTGTAGTGTTTTTTTTTATTAGTTTATTCTTACTGTTACCAAATAAACTGCAAAGGGAAATTTCCCTGCAGACACCTGTTTTTAGATATTTCACAGCATTGTGAAAAACACATTTTTAATAAACACTTTGTTTGCTCTCCATTATTTAAATGGCCATTACATGTTTACTACTACTCTATCTGTATACCACCTTCTCTTTAAGCAGATGTGTCTTAACTAATCCTTAAAAGTAAAAATACTTTATTAAATGTTTGAATGTGTTGCATCATCAATTTAGAACAAGCTATTGGTTTATATATAAAGGCTTGGGGTTAGTGCTTTAAAATAAAATTTAAAATAAAGTTTTGACTCCTTTTTTTGTCTAGATAAGTCTCACATTGAAAATTTTTTTGTGCATATTTGGTTTTACAGGCCACTACAGTACACAGTTTGTGTGTTAATGATTTAATTTTGTGTATTTCTATGACGATAAATACTAAACATAATGGGTCTGGAAAGGTAAGTGGAAAGGATGTCTGGAAGACAGAGGATGTGGTGCTGGCATCTTATTTACACTCACGTTATGGAGGTCTGGATCACATTTAAAACACATGTTCCTCCTCCTAGGCTAAGAGAGTTTCAGTAAGCAGAGAGAAAATAACACTGGTAAGAGATTTGACTAGCACATGATTTGTCCACTTGACAAGTGGATTTAAATGATAGAAACAGGTTTGGATGTTAAATGTACAGTAGCTACAAGCTGATTCTGAAAGACCTGCAGCTCCTCAGACTTTTTAAAAACTAGGTTGAGTTTTTTTTTTACAGACTATGGTTAACTGTTGTTTTCCCATAAAATTCTAAGTGGCCAAAGTAGCAAGCACTGAATTTGGGCAAGCTGTTATGCAAATGCAATAATGTATGTTGATGGAAACTGAAGGAAACTTAATTTAAGGAGTAGTATTTTCTCAGCTGTTAACAGGGTTATTATCTTACCCTACACCTCAGCCTTTGCATCAAAGCCTTACCAGGACGTTCCTGGTTTAAAGCCATCTCTCCATTTGGTTCATGGCTTATTAGGTTGCTGCAACAGGTTGCGTCTAGTTCACACACAGGCACACACCCTCTACTTGCAGCTGGGAGAGTTTTGTTTTGGCACAAATGTGTCCGGAGAGGATAGAGTGTGTGGTCTCAGTTCTCAGCTGGTCCAGCATTTGGAGAGACAGTGCAAACTCACAGAGCTTTCACAGCACTGCTAAGAGAAAAGCGGGAGAGTCAGCTCTGGATGATGGGGAAGATGCAATGGGGTCTGTACAGGATATTTTTCTTGGTGACTTTAATGTTGCAACTTGGATGGATAAACGTTGGTTACTGCTTGCACAGAGAGGGTGGCAGCAGGGTAAGTTCATTCATGAAACTTATTTATTCAGTGTGCAAACAGGAATAAGATTTAGCCCCTTTGCAACTGACAGACTTTAGCTGACCTAATTTGAAAGCTTTTTTGTTTTTTACAACGGCTGCAGCTTACTTTGATAAATTACATACCAAAAGTTTTTCACACATCTTAAAGAATGTCTAATGTACATGAAGAGGGTCAAAGATTTGGTAAGATTATAATTTTGATGCCATTTGAAGTACTTGGAGTATGTTTTATTAGAAGATAAATTGCATACTTGACCACTTGCTGTCTGGCTAGAAAATTATATGATACATACGGTGAATATGGCTGACTTTAACAACAATGTAATGTGATTTATGTTATTTTAGTCAGGCACTTGGCTTCTCTGAGGTATAATTTGGGAAAACATTTTCTTTCAGTTGTTTCTTTATACCTAGGCGATGAGTCTGCTGTACCATCTCTTACAGTTAACACTGATATTTAAAATCACAGCTAAGCCTGCACTGATAATCTGAACTAAATCGGAAAAACATCTAACAAGTAATTCATAATCATGTAGAATTATAGAGGGTTGTAGAATTAGTCTAGGAATCTCTATTTTTCAGCTATTAAGTTTCCTTTTTGTGTGCATCAGATGTTTGGCCATTTAATATATAGACTAAATTTGACAAAAAATATTTAAAAAAAGATAATTTATTAGGAGACATAAGTTCAGCATAATCAACTATAGATGACATTAAGCAGTGGGGGTTCTGGTTCTCTGTTTCCATTTTGTTCTGGTTTACGTCAGCAGGGGAACTCTGCCTTCCTGCAGTTGCATGACATGCAGTTTTATGGGTTTCTCACACCCTTGAACCTCAGCTTTTAAAGGCTGTTTAAAACAGAGCCAGAAAAAACATATAACACCCAGCTTAAAACATATACATTGTTTTTTTTTTTTTTTTTACATCTATTACAAGTGTCTCAGCACTTTAACAGTAATAAATCCTGATACGGTAATTTGTTATCAAGCCATTTGTGAAAAAGCTTCTGCTCAGTGATTATTAGCAAGTGTTGGCAAGTCAACAACTAGGTTGTTTTGTAGGCTTCATTGCCAAAACACTGCAATGCAGTTAGACATTTTAAATGGAAACTACATAATGTCAGTCTGGTTTATTTAAGTCTAAAATTATTTATTTTTCCTTTTAGCAGTAAATACATTAATGGATTGATCTTTATCTCATTTTGTACTTTTAATCAGAAATTTTATAGATGAGGTTAGAAGTGTTCAGATCTCAGACAAGTCCCTACCTTCGAAGATGTATATGAATTTTAGTATTTGTTACTCTGTAAAAAAAAAAAAAAAGTCTATATTTTGAACAGATGTTAAGAATACTGAAGTCACGGTCTGAAGCTGATAAATGTTTAGGGTTTAGTTGTAAAAAGTTTATTTTAGTCCATTAAGAAGGGATCTTTCTTTTTTACTGTCATTTATTTTTGTTAAGTTACTGAAACAACTTTAATAACTGAAAAAATAATTGTTACAACAGAAAATGAAGTTTTTATCAGCTTACCAAATGCGATTAGTTTAGGTTTTGTGCATCTCTACAGCAGAAATCAATGTCAACCTAATGTCAATTAAGCACCTTTTTCTAAATTACCTTTTCTCTGTATCCTGAAAATATTTGTAGAGCAGAAAACGGATCCTGTCTTACAACAGGATCATGGTCAACTTTTTTGTCTCAGAGGGGCAGATTCTTTGTAGCCAGCAAAGCACAAATTCTTTGAATTTGAATCAAAGAACAAATACTTCTTATGGACGTTACATCGACGTAGTAGTCATATCTTCTTACCTTTTTTCATATGTCTTGGATATTGGAAGAGAGGGACAGAGCTATTCACCAATAACCACCTGGTGATGCCTGCATATGATATTATGAGATTCGGCAGGAGTAACTTAGATCTCTTAATGTTGTGAGGATGTTGTCGCAGACATGCCTCTTGGGGCGACAGTGGCGTCGGATGCAGGAGTTTGCCCTGAAATCGGAGGATTGATGGTTCAAGCCCTGGCTCTGACTTTCAGTGTCGTGTCCTTGAGCAAGACACTTCACCAGCATTGTCTAATGATGGTGGTCAGAGGGCCCGGTGGCGCCAGTGTACAGTACGGCAGCCTCGCTTCTGTCAGTGAGCCCCAGAGCAGCTGTGGCTACAACGTAGCTTGCCACCGTGAGTGTGTGCGTGATTCGGTGAATGACTGAATGTAGTGTGAGGCCTATGCTAAGGTGCTAGAGAGAAGAGTCCAGCTATTTGCAGAACCTCAGGAGGAGGAGCACTCTGGTTTTTGTCGTGGAACACTAGTTCAGCTACACTCTCTGTATGGTGCACAAGGGAGCTTGAGATTTTTCCTAACCAGTCCACAAGTGTTTGTGGTCCTGGGGAAGGCACTGACCATGTCCTTCGTGGTACCCTATGTCTGGCGCTCCAGGAATAAGGAGTCAGGCGCCCTTTACTAGGGGCCATCTGGTCTCTGCACAAGCGGAGCAGGAGTTGGGTCTACATTTCTAGAATTAAGTCAGACCTGTTCCTGGTGCATCCTGGACTCCGACAGGCCTGCCCTCTGTCAACGGTTCTGTACATAACTTTTATGACAGGATTTTTTGGTGTAGCCAAAGGCCAAATGTGGTGAGTGGGGACCAACGGATGTCTTCCCAACTTTTTGAACATGACAGGGTTTTGCTGGCTGCCTCCTGTTAAGACCTGTAGCATGTAGTTGGGCGGGTCACAGTCATGTGTGATGAGAAAAAGCTTCTATGGTTCTCATAGATCTTATCTAGAAAAAGATGGCTTTTGCCCTTCAAGTTGGAGGAGAGTGCCTGCCTTAAGTGCAGGATTTCAAATATATTGGGGTCCTCTTCATGAGACGGGAGAATGGAGCAGGGGATCAATAGATGGATTGGTGTAGCTGCTGCTATAATGCAACCAGTTGGTCTACATTCCTACTCTCACCTATAGTCATGAAATCTGGATCATGACCAAAGAAGCGAGAGCCCAGATACAAGCGACTGAAATGAGCTTTCTCCTCAGGGTGGCTGGCCACTGCCTTAGAGGTCACAGATCTTGGTCATCCAGGAGAACTTCGTGGTAGAGCCCCTTCTCCGCTTTTAGATAAGTAAGCTGAGATGGCTTGGACATCTTTTTTGAATCCCCCCTGAAATCTTCCATTGAGAGGTGTTTCAGGCATGTCCCATTAGGAGGAGGACATATTGAAGGGTCTATGTCTCTCAGCTGGCCTGGGAATGGCTAGGGCTTCCACAAGCAGAGCTCGAGGAGTTGTCTTGGGCGAGGGAATTCTAGAAGTCTGTGCTGAGACTGCTGCCCCTGTTAACTGGTCCCACATAAAACCAAAGGTAACAAGAAGCATAAGAAGTACAAGTGCAATGACAAAATAACTTCATGGCCAAAATGTACTTTTAGTAGCAATTTTAGTTTACTTATGTCAAGTTTTTACTTGAGTATTATTTTTTCTAAATAATTGCTACTGTTATTTGGGTTCACTTTTTGGCCATTTCACTTACCATGAGTAACTTCACTGAATGATGAACAAGCATATTTTAATGTAAGATGCACCAGACCCAGACAGTTAAGGCTTTGCTAAATAATAGTCTTACCCTAACATAGAGTATACCACAATTTTTAGTTTTAATGAATCTACTGTTGACAAAGTAAAATCATTTGGAGACGTGTTTCATGTGCCAAGTTTGTTGTTTTCCAATCAATTGTATATTTGTCTTCATTATTTTCTGTTGCTTTTCAAGACACTGGAGTTTAAACATAACATTTTAGTCTCTATGATTGCATCATTTCAGAAAGTCAATCAGATGCTATGTTTAGGTTCTTAGTACTTTAATAGCCTTCTTACCCGTTACTTTTTTTTCTTGGAAGGCTTTTAATAACTTTTTTACTTTTAATTAAGTAAATATGTTCAGGTAAAGCTTTTCTTTCTTAAGGCAATTTTTTGTATACTCTACTCACCTTTGCCTATGAAGTTTATAAGCAATTCATAAAGGGTCGCTGTAAAATGTCTCTGAGATTCTCAGCATTTCTATTCCTCTCAGCAGACTTTATGATGTAATAGAAACACGCCTTTACAGATTTACAGCTTGGTACAGGTATCAGTACTAAATCTGGGCCCACTTCACCTCTGGGTGAAGTTTCAGGCAATTTGTGAAGAACAATACAGATACCTCTCTTTGGCACATTTTATAAAACTGTCCCGAAGGTTACCTGGGCTAGGACTTTGGCAATTTGTGGTGATGGAAAATTATTTTATCAAATTGCCCACTGCTAAACTTTTTGTTAATTAAAACATATTTTTTAAAATACTTAAAATGTTGTCAACCTCTGAATCTAACTTCTAGTAAGGTATATAGTGTTTATTCTCAATTTCTGTAATGTAGGGTAAGACTTTTTCAGTCTGACATTTTTTCATAGTTTTTTATTTTAGTAGTTTAAAGTTGTCATTTAACTTATCTTTTCTATTAGCATTCTCCCTGTGGAAAATTAAATTCTTTAGACAGCTTAAAGGCCTTTATAGATTTACAGCTGTGGATCTTACTATCATCAAGAGTAAGTTTATTACAGTCTAACACATTATCAATGAATAAGTCCCCATGTATGAGCAGTCCTAAGAATATTGGACAGGTAGCATCTGTCAAGGAGGAAGCATTACCCTTTTGTCTCCTCCAGAGCAAATGAAGCTGTTGCTTTCCAAGGACTACTTAAGTTCCCCAATAACAGGTTTGAAAGTAAAATTATTACTTGTTAAAAGCTATAATATTCACAGAAAGCTACTAACTTAAGATATTTTTATTCTATGCTAAACATTAAAACAAGGCTAAGGACAAATATGTCTGTATAGGGTTTATTTATTCCATTTAGTTATGCTTAAGCCTAAAAATGTTCAGTTTTCATTAACTTTTTAAACAATCATAACCTTACCCGATTAAATGAGTTGTTTTTAATGGTATTTGCCGAACCCAGGGTGGGAGGAGACATTGGGAGAGGCAGGTCCAATCATCCTCCAGTTTGGACGAGCTACTGAGACTCACGGATTTTCCTGACTGGAAGCTGTGGAAATGTCGTATGAGGTTGCAGCCGCCACAGGTTCCCAGAGAGGTTTTCTCCTTTCCACCTATGGTTGGTTCACACCGCTCCACACGCTATGCTGCAGAATCTTACAGCCTGGAAATACTTAAAGGTTGGATCCTGTGCAAATCACTGAATATGGGTTAAAGAAGGGTTTTCATCACTGCCTTTTCTCTATAGCCATAGATGAAGAGTGGCAGCGTACTCAGTGTATGCCCAGAGAGACGTGCATCGATGTGGCCAAGGAGCTGGGAACTGACCCCTCAGTTTTCTTCAAGCCACCCTGTGTGTCTGTCTATAGGTGAATTCAACACATTAGCTCCAGAACTCGAACTTCTACAGACATTTAAAGCTGAATTCCTTCTTTACTTTTATCAAAGCTTAAAAAATAACAGTATTTACAATGATTTATAAGTTCTGTTATTTTTTTCTTGCTGACAGGTGTGGTGGTTGTTGCAACCAAGAGGGCATCACCTGCAGGAATACATCTACTGTATATGTGAATAAAACAGTGAGGAACCACCCTTGATCAATATGAGCATGGATTTTAGTGAAGCAGCAGTTTTTAGGACTTAAATTGAACAACATTTTTTGTTCTTTAGGTTTTCAGTATAATCCCTTTTAAATTTGTGCCAGAACCAATGCTGATAAAAGTAGCAAATCATACTGCATGCAGATGCATGGAGCCTGCAATAATTCGACGTAACGCGCAGCAACACAGGAGCAGTGGGTAAATATGGAAAGTCTGAAGTCAGTCTTGTGTTACTATTTTTGGAGTTAATGCTTTCTCATTGTATTTAACGTCAGCTGCCCTCTGATGGGACAGATCTTGGAAGCAAAGGACTCCAGGAGACTTTGTGCCAGTGGGTGGATTTGGGATTTTTCAAGTGAAAGATGCATACCTTACCCCTTCAGTGCTCCAGGTTAGTTTTTCGTAAAACATTTTCTCTGTCTTGCGGTATATTTTGGAATTAAACTTCAATGTTGTTTTTTTTATGTGCAAAAGTAAGCCTGTGAATAAATTGGATTTTGAAATGTCGCTATATCACTACTGTCTTCTTAACTTAAAACTGCATCAATATTGTCCTTTATTTAGAGTTTCCCCTCAGTTCCTGGATGTCCGACTGTGAGATAGACGCAGAGCGCTGTGAATGTCTGCCTAGACCTGAGCCGATTCTGCAGCCCAGACCCCTCTAATCTAAGGTCTTCCATGGACATCCACAGAAAACAAAGTTTCATAAAGCCTCATGCAGGTAGAGGTTTATTCTGGTATTTTAGCTTCCCTTTATTAGCTTCCTGTTAAATCCAGAACATAATTCAAAATTATCCCTCTCAAGTATAAAGCCCTTGATAACCAAGCTCCATCTTATATCAGTGACCTGATTGTTCCTTATGTTGCTAAAAGAGCACTTTGCTCTAAATTTGCAGGTCTACTAGTGATTCCTAGATATTGCTGTCAAGTCTCCTGTTTTTGCCGTTAAATTTCAGTATTTTACCCCTTTTTCCTGCCGTCCTCCTGCATTAGCAGTCTCCCATAAATGTCATGTATTGAATTATTGTATTATAGAATTATATATATTAAAAACATTTGATCTGCCTCTCCAAACAGAGCTGTTGCTAGCATCAAAAGTCAAAATCTGATCACCTTATTGTAGTTTGCAAATGGCTTACAAATGTTAAGATTTCTTGTACACATGTCTTAAAATACACAGAATACTAGAGCTTGGTTGTGGTAGTCAGATTGCTCACAGCAGATATGGCAAAATTTCTCTTATTTTCAAATCCCAAATTTGACAGGTATGTTCCTATTCTTTCTAAAATGGGAGGCAGATCTTTTAGTCATCGAGCTCCTCTCCTGTGGAACTAAGTGCCAATTTCAGTCTGTGAGGCAGACACCCTGTCTGCTTTTAAGGCTAGGCTAAGACTTTCCTTTTTTAGAAAACTGATATTGAGAAAAGCCTAGGTTGTCCGGCGCTGTCTCTGTAGTTATGCTGCTATGGGCTTAGACTGCTGGAGAACAAAAGAACTCCTTTTCATCATTCTGCTTCATTCTATATATGTTCTCCAACTGTGCCTTATTTGTTAGTTTAACCCCTAGTTTTATGTTATTTCTCCTTTTCTCTTCAAAGTAGCTTCATCTGGCCTGTTTCTGTTTGACTGTGGGATCATCCTGGAAAGAAATATCAGCAGAGCTGCTGCCATCAACACCTCCAATTATAAATGATAGAGCTGGGCCTGTTTTTCAGAGCTTAGTCCTGTTGTCTTCTAGAAATCCTATGGGTTCAGCTTTTAAATTGACCAACTTTATGTGCTCTCTTCCATCTCTTTTGGCATTAAAATTGCTCCAGAGCTCATCTGCTTAACCGTTGTCTTTTATAAACAGAGCCACCTATGGAGCTAGTTTAGTTACACAAACAGTATAAAGGATCAGTGCTTCTACGTTCTTTTTCATGTCTCTGCGTCTGTCTCCTTAAACCCCTAGTCAGCCTCAGCTTACACTGAGCCTGGTTCTCCTGGATGTTTTTCCTCTCCATTTTCGCTAAATGCATGCTTGGTGTAAGGGACTGCTGGACAGTCAACACAATGAAAGCACATTTCTACTATTGCCCCATTACTTATCTAAGAGAAGTAAATCCCCCAATGGCAGTGACTCGATGCAATCCATTGTTTTTTCCTAGACTTAAAATTTTTAACCTGTTTGACTGTTTGACTGGATTGAACTGTCTCTGTAAAATGGCTTAGACCAGAAGTCTTCAACAGTGGGACCGCGACCCCTAGGGGGTCCACAGAGGTACTGCATGGGGGTTTCGAAAGTTTTGGTTGATTATACTATTATTATTTTTTTTTTTATCTACTGCAATTGTTTTCCATTAATTGAAATCTCTTTAAATCCACATTAACATTAATTCAACACACCATGGTAAACAGATAAATGGAGGCGGAAGATGTCTTTCAGTTATCAATGCACACATTTAGCGACACACAGAAGCTCTTTCAAGCTGGGCACCGTTTCATTCACATCACCTGTCCCATCAACCAGGAATCAGAATCAGAAACACTTTAATAATTCCAGGGCTAAATTGCTTACTTTATCTGATTTGTGATCCTTATTGATTCCTCAGATGCAAATTGTCCAAGTAGAGCTTCACTGGAGATTAAAATTATGACGAGCTGCTCAACAAAGAGCAATGACAAATATTAAACATTCTATAATTTATTTAGAGTGCTATTTATGCAGATTGCTTTAATGATATTAACTCATTTGACCATGTTAATTGATTTTTTTTAACATGAGAAGGATTAGGTTGTAATCAATGTACAAAGTGTATGATTTTCCATTATTTCATTGTGCACTAAATGTTCAGTATATACAATAAAGGTTATTTTTATAATTCAAGCCTGATGTCATAATCTGGTCCTGAGATACTCCAGTGATTGATGAACATGAATGAAAAATATACTGTAAATCTAAGTTAGCTCAGAACTATTGCATATATAAAGTTGTAAATGTGTTTTATTTCTTTATTATCAAGGAATAAATCTATAAATGTTTTACTGTTGTTTTTCTACAAAATCCACAGGAGATTCCTATTTCTTATGGATTTTTTACTCCAAAAATGGGGAATTTTCCCTAGGGATAACACTGACATGACACTGAGAGCTTATCCTTTAGCTGCTCTTCAAAAAAGGAAAGATGACAGAATGTGCCATTCGAATTAGAAATGTTTCATTCTTTCAGTAAAATAATACATTAACCTTTTTACAGGCTAAGTTAAAAAGTAAAATAAAATCTGGCTACTCGTGAGAGTGAGCTATGAACATAGACTTTCTCAGAAGACATGGCTGACATTTGTTTTTCTGCTTATTTTGTACATGCAGCAGGAAGCAGGCATTGATTTAAGGTGGGTTTATAAAATGTCTCTCCACAACAATGCTGCAAGTCAATAAAATGTGAAGAGGAAGGTGTGATGTTCTACACGTTTCTCAATTGATTTCACAACTGTCAGTAAAAGGTCTGACATCTCTGTCTGAATGCAATCATCACGGTTGAGTTGGAGAAAAAACGTATCTTTTTATTGCCCATTTTAAAGCCATCTAATTCTGGATTTTAAGGCCAAGTGTCTTATTTTTATCACATCATGTTATATGGCCACCCTACCATAACCATAACACTTTTGTTATAACTAAGAGGCAGCTGTAGAATAACTACTTACCACGTTCTGTGGTGATGGGTCATAATTCAAAATAATCTCCATATTTTGCAAATATGCAAAGTAAAAAAACCAAGAAATGCAGCCTAAACTTTTACTTTTTGAAAGTTTTCCCTTTTTTTTTTTTTTTTACATTTAACTGCTGTTTTCTAGGTGTTTGAAAATTTCAAGCACTGTTGAGACTACAAAAAGGAGCATCAAGGAGAATGCATTTCCCCTAAATAGAATTATTCTAAGAAAAAGACCAAAATTACCATCAACCAAACATTATGTTCAAATAATGTAGATAAAACAACTTGAAAAAAGAAAAGTGTTGGACTGTGAAAGGAGAAGGTTCTCATACTAATGGAGCTCAGGTCTTTCTCTTTAACAGCACCCGTAGGATAATTTAGTTTATTGACATTAAAGACATGTCTAGAAGCGCTGCTCTACATTCAAACGTTGCATCCACGCAAAGAAGACGTAAAAAGATAAAGTTGACTGTTATTTTTAAGGAACAAAATACATACTTTGACAGGGTTGAGTGAACCCCTGTAACTGCTTGTGTCACTGAGTATCAACATCAACTGCCCATTATTGCAAAATGGAGCCTAGACGGAAGTTCAACTGAAGAAACTGATTGCTTTCCTTCATCCACCTGCACACAGCCAATCAGCTTTGAACCACACCTCCACGAAAGCCAATCAGCATCCCAAGTTCATCTTAAAAGGCCTCCAATCTGCTTCGTCTGCTTCTGTGCGCGGGCTGCGGATGCACTGTGTGACTTCATTCAGGTGACACGGTTTCAACCCACCCGCAGCCCCTCCTCCACCATCGTGGCTAAAGCTTCATCAGAGTGTCATTCCTCCTGGACTCTTAATGCGTTCCCTGTCTTAACCGGTCCGGCAATAGACCGCCATGTTGAGCCTGGTTCTGCCAGAGGTTTCTTCCCAACAGGGAGTTTTTCCTCTCCACTGTCGCTTAATGTTTGCTCATCATGGACAGTTTCTCTCAACCTGTGTTTTCCAACTGGACTTCCATCTTCCAGGTCCCTGAGTGAAGCTCTAGTATCCAGTCCACTGGATCTCCCCATAAAGCTCAGCATACCGTCTCGCTAACCAGCAGTCTACAGACTGATCAACTTCATCTATCTCCACTCCACCACCAGTTTCAGGCCTGGGGGGGGGACAGCCCTATTCTTTGCTCCAGTTCATGTATATCTATCAAAATTAAGCGCTATGTTTCCTGCCGAGGTCTTAGCACCGATGAAAAGGTATTGTATATATAAATTTCTCCTAATTGTCTTTTCTCTTCATGTGAGTTTTTCAGATTAAACTGAGCCTTCTTTAAATCAAGCCTGACTTCACCAAACTCCAGCGGCCTGTAAAGTCAACAGATCTCTAGTAGAACATTGTTGGAAAGCGAAGATGCAGATGATAAATCTCCTAGGAGTTATGGAGATAACATGTCTTTATTTACTTAAGTTCCTGAGGGGCTTCTTAATACCTTACACAATCTGTAAAAGATGGGTAAACCCTCTAGTAACACATAATGGGTATATTTATTGGGACAATATTATAAATGTGAAGAAATAATGCATTTGTGGGGTTTGTTTTAGAGGTATGAGAAAAAAAAACATGAATATTTAAGAACCTAAACTTTTCGAATCTGTTTTTTTTTTAAATCTATAATTCTATATTATTATTAAATTGCTTTTAGAACACATTGGATAAAACTGCTTGATAGTTTTTTCATCATTTCACTAAGTATAATTGCAGCATGGGTCCACACTGGGGATCTATGTATTTCTTAGTAGAAACAGCTGAGGGCCTGCATAAGCACTAGCCTTTGGGAAGATGGAGGTCAGGACCTCAGGCAGCATACTTTATACCCTTTATATTTGTTTACTCTCATTTCAGACCAAAATATAAAGCTCCTCAATAAAATGGAGCAAGGATCACCTTTGAACATTTGATAGGAGAAAGAGGAGTCTCTGGCATTGAATGCAGAAAATGTCTTTAAACCATTTATTCTTTATCTATTATTTATTCTTTATACAATGATCATAAGAGAAAAGGACTTATTTTCTCAGTCCAAGTCACTAAAGGCCACAATCTGGCCTTGGTCAAAGTCCAAGGAAACATGCAATTGAAGCAACCTTTTACATCTTCACAGCAGTGAGTTAACATGTAAAGATAAAGTGAAGAGAAAACCAGGTTTAAGAAGATTTTTGTATCCTTTAACAATTAAGTACAAATCTTGAGGTCTTTTTTATTCATGCCACAACTAATAAGACCTTAAAGGAGAAGAAAAATGGTGACCATGCCCTTGTAAGCACTACCATATATATGGTGTACTAAAGTTAAACAGGTGCAGTGTTGTTGTGTATATATCCATATGCTTTTACCATTTTACTTTTTTCATTTCTAAACATGAAGCAGTTATGGTGTATAAAAGAGGCAGAAAACAGTTTCTATTGATTATGACAATTCAAAGCAAAATTGTTTTTGTGGACATTTTAGTGTTTAAACTCTTAATACTTACTAACTTTCAGAAAGATGAAGAAGTAAATCGACGTCTTCGGAAATAGGTTTTGCTTACATCACAAAAGCAGTGGAAGCATAGGATCAAATATAGTAGTGAAAAACCTTAAACAAGTCTGGCTGTTAGACATAGCATTAAAAAGATAATATATCAGTGTGAAAATTCAAAGCAAAATGCACAAAACACTCTGAGGACATTAATTAAGTCAGCTTAATGTTTGCTGAAAAAATGTTCATAGTTTTAGTCACATATCTGACATAGTGACACTCACACAGGGTTAAAACTGTGGAACAAAGTGTCCCTTTTGAGCCAGTGAGCCTCTTTAATTGACAGTACTGTGAATCTTTTGCCATGAACCAGTCAAAAAGGTTATCTATTTATTCCCTAAAAAAGACACATCGCCTGGTGAGATTCATGCATAAAGTGTGATACACCCGAAGGTCTTTATTAACTTAAACATTTCTAAAATAGTCAGAAACCCAACATGAAAAATGACAAAAAGCAACCAAGCCATGGAGAAAGTGAGTCAACAGGAGACTTGTCATTCAGGCGGATATCACCGCCGCTGCAGGACCCCTCTGATAAGCCTAATGATGCTGGAGGTGGTGAACAAGATGATGATGAGACAGAGGTGAGATGAAACTACAGAATAACTTAACAATGAAAATTTAGTCTATAGTATTTTAAAGACAAAGCCTAAAGATGATATATTACCATGGGGAAAAATGTACACATATGTATTAAATGTTTAATTTCTTATAGGTTACGAAATAAAATAGAATCTATGTAGTTGTAATGCGTTTAACTTAGGTATTGAGGATGTTTGTTTGGAAAATGAATAAACTGTTGCTAATAGGAAGCATTTATAGTTATTTTAAAACAACTAAGAATATCTTAATGTGCAACTGAAACCTTGTCATAATGGCTAAGGATCATCATATAAAACACCATTCATTAGCATTAATAACGAGTCACCTGGCAGCAAATGCTGCTAGAAGTGGTCTTTCAGTGAGCTGAAAATACAGCTTTGAGAGTCAGCTGCCCTGTGCAACATGCAGGAATTAAGAATAAAAGACATGTTTTGTTTGATGTTGCATAAATTATGTTTAGCTTTTGTTTGTTTTGCACTGTTGTATAGTTTTTAGAAGTTTTGGGGGTTTCTGAACACCTTTGATGTGAGCTGTTTCGATCAGTATTTTTGTCACTTTGGGAGAATGTACCATTAGCAGGAAGTAGACAAATTCTTCTACAGATGGGCTTTATGCACAACCCCACTATTTTTGTTGTATTCTTTTATATATATATTTTTATATATATTTATATTTGCCCCTTTCTTAAAACAAACATATATGGTCAAATAAAAGTATTTCAAAGAGTGTTATTTTTTTTTCTTAAATCTAAATTGTGATCGCGCAAATTGTCATTAAGTTCTGGCCTTGCATTGTTTAACCACCATTTATTTATAACCACAGATATCTAATCTTCATCTATAAGTTCTTCATTTATCCACTCCTCTGAAGAGTTTGCAGCAGATCATTCCTCTTACCTTTCAGCACTTTCTACTTTTGATATTTTTGTTAATTTTGTGCCCGACCAAAAGAAGCCATTTGCCTTGTGCCACAAAAGACAACAACGATTAACAAAAAATCTATAAAACACTTTAATCAACTGAAGACCTTTAAAGCAGAGAAGTATGTCTATTATTACGTAGCCAGAGCGGATACAAAAGACTGAGCCTGACCTTTATTTTGAGAAAGCCCATCGTAGTTGCTTGAATCCTGGATTAACTGTTAACTTTCTGTTCTTGGGCTATATCCCATGACCATATTTGAGAGTTAGAATGCTTAGGTCCTTCTTAACAACAATAAACTGTGGAGATGTCTGTATACCTGCGGCCCAAATATATCAATCCATTTTCTGTTCCATCCTGTTTTGCTTATGAACAAGACAGCATCTTTTTTCCAGTTTAGATTTATCCTCTTAGACCTAGAGAAGCTGAAAATCATGCTGGCTATGTTACACATTCCTGTGAACTGCTTAAGTACATGCTGAAGGTCATGGCCTATGTATGCTAAATGTTGATTACTACATTAGTGTGTGTATTGTATTTGTTATACTTGTGTGTTATTGGACTCATAATGGTGATAAAATATTACAAAAAGACAATGTATGTACGAAACACACATTTTTATCCATAGCCGGCACATATTACTTTTGTTTGTCCCTCATACTTATGTAGTTGAGCTACACATAATAGATATACATACTATATTGTGGGATACTAGATCCAATATCAGTCACAAAACTAGGGTTTTGGGTCAGTTGTTCTCATAACTATTGTTGTTGACTAGTGTTCTTTGGTTGAGCAATATAGTTTGATCATGCATTTTCTAATATACCAAACCACAAAATGGATAACAAAAGCATGTATGATTTGTGCCGATATATTGGGTCAGTATTGATGTTGGTAAATATCCAGAGCTACAACTTGATACTTTCTCTTGTTTTACTTCAACATCTTTGTACAATATATTAAAAATATTTAGACTGTAGCAACCTGATGCAACGAAACCAAAGAAGTCTCCTTCTTTAATTGTTTTATGATGTTTGTTTAACACAGAACAACAGATAATAAAAACAATCCAATTAATAATGAAATTATTGAAGCAGAAATTGACAATTGCTTAAATAAATTTTTCAAAATCACACTTATATAAAATATAGACATATCATACCTACTCAAAGCATAACAAATAAGAAAAAAGAAACATGCAAGATCGCAAACACTATATATATATATATATATATATATATATATATATATATATATATATATATAGATAGATAGATAGATAGATAGATAGATAGATAGATAAAACTCTTACACATAATCCTCCTGATACAGCTGCCTACCATTGATCATGGTCAGACTTGCCACAGAATGGTGCGTGCTGTGGATTGAAGTCATGCGTGTGTTATAATGAGTTGGGCTTTGCTGGGAGTGTTTGAGCATGAAATGACAGCAGCATAAGAGCTGTTGGTTGAACTGCTTCTTGAAGCTTTTGCTTAGCAGGTAAAGGGCAAAGGGGTTGATGCAAGAGTTGGTGAAGGCCAGAATCCGAGCAATAACGCTGCAAATGAAGTGACCCAGAGAGATGTCTACCTGTGAGAGAGATAGAATAGAGAGAAAGCTGATTATACACATTTGCAGTGCTGCAAAAAAAAAAAAAACTTTCCATAAGGATCTCTTCTTTTTTGTCACATATGAATGTTTCCTAACAAGTTAAATGTATATATTGGCTGGAATAAATGCAAATAATTATGTTCTGATTCTATTTAAGGGAAAAAGGCTAACCAAACAACCTGACTGAAAGAGATGAGCTTTAATAGGCTTGTGTGGTAGGATAATATATACATTATAATATAATAATACTTTATAAACGACTTTATGCTTATAGAAAGTACACATTTTTCTTGTTGCCTTTATCTTAATTCTGAGGTCAGCTGTAAAAAAGAACTAACATTGACTGTAGTCAGACCTTCATTTTAGGAGAACTGAAAATCTTAGAAAACTGAAAATTCTCAATTTAAAACCACAAAAGGCTAAACTTTATAAGTAACAATCCTTACCAACAATAATAATGCTAAAATACTAAATAGCTGTGATCTAAGTCATACAATATGTTTTACTCAGGAAGGATCAGGAAAAAATGATCTTTTGACAGCGCCCGATTTTGGTTTAAAGAAAGAACATATGTCAAAACTATGGAGGCAGATAAGGACTATAATTTTTTTTACTGAGGGTATTTAAAATGTACAAATAATAAATAGGAGTATAAATGAAAATCTTTCTTGACTAATTGATGAACCTGTGAAAATAGTCTTCACCTGTTAGCTGGTTATAACAAAGTCCCCAAAAATACCTGAAAAAGCACAAATTAAATCAGATGTTGTTTTTTATCGCTTGAGAGGGTCTAGTCTGTTGTTTATTTAACTGTTGTAATAGCAGACAGCAGCCTTATAGTGGTAGCTATATACGGACAGACAGACGGACGGATAGATATACATACATTTCCTAATGTCTGCAATACATAAAGAGATTTTTTGACTGCTTTTATTTATTTCTTTTTTTACAGTAGTATAGCTTAAGGTGCAGAACTAGAAAATTTTTCATGGGGAAACAAGAGTCGCACAAAATTTCTTGGCAAGGTTGCAGAGCTGGACCTCCTAATCAAAATACTTCAGAAATATTTAGATATATAACATATCTTATATGTTAATGTCATCAAGAAAACAAAAGCATTTAAAAACATTTTAACGTGTTATTTTCTTCTCTAAGAAATAAAGACAGAGAAAAACAAATGTTTCACAAAATAAATAAACACAGAAAACAAAATCAGACAAGGAACCGATATTATCGTAAAGGACTGATTTTAATCAACACTTTTAGGAGAGATTAGGTGAACGATTGTTGTGGCCAGCTGGAAACATCTCAAAAAAAGGAATCACATCTAAAATCTCTACATTTAAATCTATACTGAGAATAAATACATTTCAGGTTGTCCAATTAGATTAGTTGTCTTACATTTCTCTTTTTTCAGCTTCCTCTGCATTTTCTTCTCTTTCTCTCTGACTCTGAAATCTTCCCATCTCAACTACTAACATCATCTTCCCCATCATTCCTTTCTCAAATTTCACACACTTTTCTTAATTCTAATTCATAATTTTTTTAAAAATAGTAATGCCTCAACTTTCAAGTTTCCTTTCAGTCTGCAATGTGTAAGCGTCAACATTTGGAAAAAGTTGCCCACTAATTGCCGCAAGAAGTCTATCTAAGTCTTCTTATTTTTATATTATATATTCTACAAGATACATTATAGTATATATTAAATATTTTGGTAAATTATTCATCTTTAATTTGAAGACTGTAAGGCGCTTTTGGACAAACCCCTTTGCCCCCAAAAATGTAAAACTGGATAAAAACTGTAAAAACGTGTCAACAGGAGGTTTTGTATTCTATTAGAAAAAAACAATGACATGTTGTTTTGGGTTACCTGGGAATAGTGATAGGAGCGGTACAAGTAGATGATGTGACTGGGCAGCCAGCACACTGCAAAGAGACCAACAAACACCAGAACTGTTTTGGCCAAACGTTTTCTGGATTCCACCTGTTGATAACACAAAAATACTTCAAAATGTTATCAGAGAATAATAAACGTTTAAAACAAATGTCTCAAAACCAAGATCGAACAACTGTTTTTCTTTTTCAAACACAGCTCCCTGAGGTCATATTCAAATTTTTGAAACTCAACACAGCGTAGATTATGTTAATTTAAATACTTCAATCCATGGGGTGATGGGGGAGCGTGGCCTAGTGGTTAGAGCAGTGTGCTTGTACTCTGCGAAGGTTGCCATTATGCGGTTTCAATCCTCACAGCCTGTACTGTGGGTCCCTGAGAAAGACGCTTAACCCCCACACTGCTTCCGGGGTGCCGCACAATGGCAACCCGCTGCTCCCCAAGGGGATGGGTTAAATGCAGAGGTAAATTTCTCCAGTGTGAGATCCATAAAGTTCAATTATTATTATTATTCATTATTGCTTTCTGATATAAAGGCTGGATATAACATCTGTTTTCAATGGCCAAAGAAGAGAAGAAAACTAAGTTAATAAACTTTTGTATTTTCAGTAAGTTGGAAACTATTGGTATAATTAAAGTAATTTTATTGCAAAATACTAGCCTGTCGTCTTGCATGTACATTCCCTTCCATGGGCAGGTCAGACGCACTCTTAAAAAGGCTGCGGGCAATGAAGGTGTAGTACATGCTTATCACCAATAGGGGGATGACATAGAAAATGAGGAAGGAGGCCATGGAGTGGATCTGTGGGTGCAGTTTCCCAGTGTGGGGATAAGGGGCACAAGTAACAAAGCTCTCATTAAAGGTCACATTGAAGGTGTGGAGGTCAGAGTACACCGCCTCTGGGATTGCCAAAATCAGGGAGAAGACCCAGATGAATGCTGCTCGCAGGACAATGCTTGTAGTGGTGGTCGCTGTTTGGAGATCTAGAGGTTTCACAATGGCCCGGTACCTGAAGAACAAAAAAAAAAGATTAGAAAATTTCAGAGAGGTTAAATTGAACATACACTCTTCTTTGTCCTGGCAAAATAAGTATCAGATGTTAGCAGGCTTGGTTGAACATTTAAAGGGCCCAGTTTAATTCAGTAAGTGGTTAAATTTACTCAAATATTGTACCCCACGTTCCTTGATTTGTGTGACAGAACTTACATCTCACGTTTTCTACATTTTACAAATTGGCAATTTAATTTGAAAGAATAGTCTTTTTTTTTAACACCCCGAGAATTTTTGAAGCAAATACAACCAACGCCTTTTATAAAGGCTTGTTTTATCTACACTAAGTACTGTCTGAATTCAAGGAATAGAATAAAGTCCACTTGTTGTTGTGTCTTTAATCCACCAGAGGATTTAATGATAAAGCCATGCAGCTGAGTAGATATAACAGTGGGGAACATTTTATGCCAGCAAACACTCCTTTATGTAAGCAATAGCTGAGCTGTCACTCTTTGGTTTCACAACGTTTTATTTTATGTCAGCACAACAATGTGATGTGTAATAAAGCCCCAAAGAGAGATATAGATTTTCAATTTTATTGGAGAATTATGTTATGATAAGGTCTTATTTGTAACTAGAACAATAATTAAAGCTTGGCCAGACATCTGTTATGACAGAAGTCTCCAAGCTTTCATCGGGGAGTGGAAGTAGGGTATTTCTGGACAATTTGTGGTCCTGACAAGGTCATGAGGCCAAATACTTAATTGGCTGACATTTACAAAGCTCAGTGTCTGTACTTGTGCTGGAGTGGCATGAACACCTTGGCCTGTTGAAAAAAGGAATTTGATAAGTTTGGCTCAAGAAAGGTGAAAACCCTTCAGAGTATTTGTATCAAATTTATTTCCTCATTTGAATCTTTAAGACCTGAATATGAAGGATAATGAAATAAGAAGAGAGAGAAAATAAACATGAGATATGTCATCATCAGATCTTTAAAATGTTACCAGTTAAAAATAACAAGCCTGGGATTTTTTTTTCCCAGTCAATGTTTATCTTTTTGTATAAGACAATTGTAATTATTTATTATGTAGTTGTAAGTGTTTTCGGAAAATGGTAATAGCCTGCCTACGTTGTCAAAACACCATGTAGGCCAGGCATCCCCAAACTCGGTCCTGCTTAATTGAAAGCTGATTAACAGGCTTTGGCTTTGCTGCAATCATTATAATCAGCTGTGCTAAAGCAGGGAAACCCCTAAAACCTGCAGGACAGCGGGCCTCGAGGACTGAGTTTGCGGATGCCTGATGTAGGCATCTCTTGATATCACCTTTGATGGGGGGTTTACAGCCCAAAGAAGGTCAGAGAATCAGCAACCTCCCGACAGCATTAGACAAAACTACCCAGGAACCCACCATGCCTCATCATGGACCAAGCAGACTTATGTGTATGGGAAAGTAAAAGGTTCAGAATTGACATTAGAGCATAATTGCACCCTAAATGCACCGGGGAGCGTTATCACAGATCCTTCCTCCTTGCAGCTGTAAGACTCTATAACCACCACTGTTCCCAACATTCTCAATAAGTTGTTACATTCATGCTTATTTTGCACAGTTTCTGCCTTAATCAGTTAAATAACATGCTGCTGTCATTTTGCACATCTCTGATGTTGCCGCTATTTTTAAATATCCATTACTGTGAAAATCTCCATAGAAGTATATTGGTTATTTATTCTGTATTCTTATACATTTTTCTACAGTAAGGTCCACCTTTGTGTGAACATGTTTTCTGTAATGTTTTGCTGCTGTAAACACCGGAATTTCATCATTGTGGGACAATAACGGGATTTTTCTATTCTATTCTATAATAAAACCTCCTTCCAAATCAATAATAAGAAAGATAAGCTGATTTTCCTGTCTCATAATAGTTCATTGTTTCTGTAAAAAACAAAAAACAGTTTGATATTAATTTTTAGTTATCAATAATTTTAATCAGAAAATAATCACAAGAACTAAATTACCAAATCTAAAAAATACTGAGTAAACAGAGGGAAGATGTACACACAGCTTCACTTGAAATATCTATTACTGTAAAAATTTCCATAGCTGTATATTAGTTATTTATTATCTTATTCTAAGGTCCACATTTGTATGACCATTTTTTATATAATCTCTTTGCTACTGTAAACAACAGAATTTCCCCATTGTGTGACAATAAAGGGATTTTCTATTCTATTCTATTCTATTCTATTCTATTCTATTCTATTCTATTCTATTCTAATAAAACCTCTTCCAAAACAATAATAGGAAAGATATGCTGATTTTCATGTCTCAAAATAGTTGATATTAATGTTTAGTTATCTATATTTTAATCAGAAAATATTCACAAGGTCTAAATGACCAGATCTAAAAAGATGTACCTACAGCTTCTTGTAATTTCCCAACAAAATAGAAAAAAAGCTTTTAATATATCCTTATGAACTTCAGTGTATTTTCTTGATCGCAAAGGTTTTTAGGTTATTTTATATGTACCTAAATACACAAAAACCTGAAGCATGAATTTTATGAGATCATCTACTGGACCACATGTGAAGCTTAAGAAGAAAAACAAACAAACAAAAAAATTCAGCATTAAATCTAATCAATATGTTCCTTTACCTGTCCTTAGCACTGAAATGTTTAAATAGACCTTTAAATTGTTTATGAAAGCTTCTTTCAGATGCCTGGAAAAAGGAGACAAAGTTGCATAATTCAAAGAATGATGTTCTCTGGCTATTTATTTATATATAGTCACAGGGTTATTTTCTTTAATTAACAATGATCATCGCTAATGTTTATAGACATTTTCCAACTGCTTGACAGGGGTGGAGCTAGATGGGGGGCCAATCATTGGCCACCCCTGTGGCCACCCCTACAATATCTTTTACCTGTAATACAGATAGAGGCAGCAGTAATACTCTCAAGTGGAATATTCAAAACATTTAAATTTTTCATATATTAACATTTACAAAAACATTGTGGTTAATAATGCACATCAATATACTAACATTAAAGATGACAAGTACAGAATTCCTGCTCTTTTCAGAACTAGATTTTGTGTTATATGGGGTAAAGAGAAAATTATTTGTCTCTGCAAGTCATATTGGAGTATTCAGTGAAATCATAAATAACTATTTTAATAAAAACCTATTAAATAAACAATTTATAGATATAAGTACCTGTAAATATAATTTTTTTGCAGAATGATTATTGATAAAACTATCTAATAACAAAGGAAAAGATGTTCAAACTCAAAAATAAAGAATTGTATCCACTATACCTTTTATCTAGGAAGATGTTTAAATATATTCATCTATTTCTTTGCAAAGGGTGTAGAAAAGGATTTTTTTTTCTTTATTTAGAAAATATGGATGTTGTGCTGATTAATTCTCCTGTTGGAACAGTGTAGCGTAACCCTGTGGTTCTGGCTCCTATCCACTTTCGGTCACCCCTCAGTGTACATTGGTTATTGCCTGGCCACCCTTGTGAAGATTTTCTGGCTACGCCCCTGCAAAATATATTCTTCAAGCTGATTCTTGTTAACAATCAGCTTTTAAATAGTTTTTACTGAATTTAATGAGAAGCCTAATTGCTTTAGGCTATACTTTAGAGGTAAAGATGAGTCTTAATAAGATAATTTTGTGTCTTGTGAAAAAAATCACCTCTCCAAATATTTTCTCACACAGATTGCCAACTTTACTTAGATGCGGTCAATATTACACGTGTAACAGCAGCCTACCTGTCAGCAGAGAGGGCTGTGAGGGTGAACACAGACACCCCAACAGAGGTGAGCTGAATGAAAGGGATGATTTTACATCCAACTCTACCGAACAGCCACTCATCCGACAGGAAGCGGCTGGCATCCACCGGGGCGCAGGTCACCAGCAGCAAAACATCCCCAAGCGCAAGGCTCGACATGAACAAGTTGGGAACGTTGCGGATGGATTTGGTCGAGCAAAGCGTCCTGATGAGAGTGATGTTGCCTATTAGTCCCAAAACAATTATGGCTCCGTAAATGGAGGCGATGGCCGCGCCGGTGTACCACATCATCCGAGTAAAACTGCGCGAAGAAGTGATGTTGCTCGATGCGTTTGGATGAGACGCTCCATCTCTCCCGACGCGTCAAAGCGACAGGCTGTGATGCATGACAGATAAAAAGAAATCTGCGCTTGAAATGTTACTGCTTTTCACTGGAAATTCAGAATAGAGGCTCAGAAACCTCAGTGACCGCATTAAGAAGTGTGCGCATGAGGTCTGAGCTCGGTGCGCTCAAAGTCAGACCAATTACATTCAAATTAGGTTCAATTAAAAAAAATGTAATTTACTTTAAAAAATATATATAAGTCTCGTCGCTTTTTATAATTTACTTTGTGACATTCATCTAAAATATATCTCCAACTATTTTACTATTTACTATTTTTCTACACATTTGAATAAACTTGTATGATATAAAAGTAAAATGAATAGTGTTTAATCTGAATAAATATTGCTTTTGAGACCAACATTAAGAAAGTAAAATATTTTTTTTCTTTTGGGTTTTGATTTTTATTTTATCTTTGATTTATTTGTGCAAGGTGCTCTCACTTGTATATTTTGCAGGTTTTCTGAGCCTTTTTGTCCTCTTTTGCCCAAGGATCTTTTAAAACCAGCACCCCTGTTGCTTGTTTCTTTGTCATTCTTTTTTTCATTTACACTCAACCACTCCTTCACAACTGGATACGTAAAAGCAATTAGTAGCTACCTTGGGATTTTGCTACTTTCATTAACAATACACTGAACAACTGTACCTAATAAAGTGACCAGCTGTTCTTGTATTCTTTTTTTTTCTCTTCTGTCTCCTTCCATTCATAGCACCGCTTTATCATTTATTGAAAACATTTTCAAACAGAATAGTTTCCATCCATTTATGGCAAATACCTGCTGAATACTTCAATAGGTGAGTTCATCATTTGAAACGTTGATCACCATCTTTTGAAACTGTCAGTGCTGTTGTTACTCCTCCATAATTAGATGGAAGATTACAGGCTTTTGCAGAGGGCAATGGCTCTACATGTTTCTTGACAGTGTTAAATCTGAACAGAGTCTTAGTGTCTGCAGAAAAAAGGTTCTCCATGGGTGTAATAGATGAGAAGGGGCAAACAGCAGGGAGCGAACGAGAAAAATAATCCATGAAACAACTTTTACATTTGCAGCAAAACGTCAATGTAATGGAAAGTGCTTGGGTATAAACACAAAACGGTGATTTAGAGTAGTAGGAAGGTAATGCCACTTGAAAAAAGAACATCTTTAATCTAGAATTATTGATTTGGCTCACGGAGAGCTGGTTGACACCTATGTTTGCTGTAAGTGCTTGAAAAGGCTCATAAAAAGTAAAGTGGGGCTTATAATCATGTTGGGATTAAATAATAAGGCAGAGAAAGCAAGAGACTTCTACAGTATTTGCTGTGCACAAGCATTTAAAAATCTACAACTGAAAACTGGAGAGAGAAAAAACACACTCTAGTCTGAATATTTATTACCATTATAATCATGCTTTGCACAAATAAAATGAAAGGAATTAATTTTACAAAGGGAAAGTTCATCTTCAAGTATGAAATGTCATGTAAATACCAAAGTAATATGCTGTGAGGGTTTCCACACAAACAGAAAAAGTGAAAACAAGCTCAATTAACCTTTATCACAAACTCCGATACAAGCTATGTTTATTCCATATTAAATTAGTGCAAGATTTTAAAACATGCTTAAAATCAGCTAAAACCTTAGGCAGCAGGAGTCACAGGAAATCCAAAGGCATAGATTAGAGAATATTTGAACCATCAGATCAGATGCATCCTTCCCAGCTTAAAACTGATGAGTACAGAAATTGAATGTCTTCACACTATTCAGTGTCCAACATGTGGTACTAATAACAGACTTTTTTTTTTTTATTATTACATGCAACACATTAAGGAAACTTTTTCAAAAGCTCCAAAAGCTTCACAAGGCAGAAGAGCAGTTGGAAATATTGTGAGAAATTGCATAACAGAGAACAATTAAACCAGAAAAAAGGAGACTCTTTAAGTAAAAGTATACCTTAGAAGCCTGTGATACATATCCCTGTATTATGGATAGATTAATCAAAATCTATGATAATTCTAATAAATTATTAGAACTGGATTTAACAAACAAGTTGAGGACTTAGATGGAGACAATGTTTTTGCCCACTCTGAAACCTTATCTGGATCCAAACAGTCCAAAACAGTTCAGGTTCTATAGTTACCTGCAGTTCTGCCTCGGCTTTCAGAATAATTTATATGTTTAATTATATTAATTATATATTTTTAATTACATATAATTTATATGATAAGTCATATTTAGAGGGGTGCCAACTATCTTATTTTTTATAGAATCAATTTTATTTTTCAAGAATTTATGAAAAACAAGTTTGGCAGCTCTATTAAATGAAATTGAGTATTAAGTAGGATTGCTATAGACGGAGAGCGCCATTTCCTCTCCATTTTCCTAGTATTGCACTTCAAAATATGCAGTTCTGAGGTAATCCAGGGAGTCAGCTTCCTATTTATTAAATGCTTCCTTTTCAAGGGGCTATGTTGTCTAAAGCAGTGCACAGAGAAAAAGTAACCACAAAATCATAAATTTTTAAACTAAGTTTGAAGGTCACTAAAAGTGGTCAGATAGGGCAGGATTGTGAGGAACTACCTTATGTTCTTATAAATTGATACCATATGTCAGCACAAGGTCCAAGGTATGAAGATAAAAATACATGGGTCTATGAACATTTTGAAAGAAACAAAACAAATCAACTCTAAAACAACATTAAGGGGTACATTTAAACTATCACCTTTATGGTCAAGATGAATGTTAAAATCCCCCACCGTAACATTGTCAGTATATAAATCAGATGTTTCAGAAGTCTTAAAACCAAGCTAAGCATTGAAACTAAGGGCCTGTTGAAGTTGCAAACAGAAGGGGTTTTTAATGATTTACAATTTGGATGGCAAAAACTATGGTTTAATACTCAAAAGAATTTTAAGGAGGAACAGCAGCAGATGTTTTCCTGTAGTTTTCCCCCCAAAACTATGACCAAATGCAGTGAAGAAGCATGAAGCTGGGGAAAGGAAAGAAAAAGGGGTGGAGCAAAACCTGCAGAGAGAGAAAAATAGAGACAGTGTGCAAACTTGACAGTTTGGTCAAATCAGAACCTTTGCCATGGAGGGGAAGACTTTTGTGTTAGTTCTGCTTTGTATGGGTGAGTTCTTCTACTAAAAATAGTTTAATTTGCATTATATCACTCTATGGGTATAATCCAGCAGAAAAATATTGTTCAGGGAAATTACTGCTTGTTTGGTTTTAGGGCAGCAACTTAAGATAGCTTTTATCATCTGTTTGCAAAGTGGAAAAAGGTATTTTTGTCAAAATCTATAAATTACAGTAATTACTGTAAGCTTTTTATTCTTTTTTTAATTCATTTTTGAAATAATTTTTTTAGAAATTGTCAAATGATTACCAGATATAGAGAAAACAGGTATCAGCTTGCTTTTTATGGGTAGAATTTGGCAAGGGGAGTTGTGACATTTAATCAAAGTCTAAATAATGTACTGATTTATGCGTGCTGACTGATGACACTCGAATGTTATGTTACAGACAGTGGTAAGCTTCCCTTTAAACTCTGATATTTCTTAATGAAACCAGAGGGAAGCAAGATGGCACAATAGCAGTGACAGCTTTATTTGGTTAAGAAGCTTTTGGTTTTTAATTTTCCACAAATGGTTTAAGGATGAATATGAGATAAAAAAAAAAAAAAAAAACACTATATACTCAATACAGAAAAAGTGAAAATTTGAAATATGACTTCAGTTTGCTAATTGTTAAAATCAGGATGTTTTGTTTTTATTTTCCCCAAACAGTATGGTCAAGGGTGGCTGCCATCAGAGTTGATATTCCTCGGGATGTGTATAAGTTTGCCCGAGGAGACAACATCACACTTCCTTGCACATTTCAAAGTACTCTATCCAAAATAGACCTGGCCATAATCTCTTGGTCTGCTGACGGTCCAGAAACTGATGCAGATGTTAGTATCTTCATGCCTTTTTTTTCAGCTGAATGAACAGACATGTTTCTCTAATGCTCTCAATCTCAACAGAACCTGATACTTACCTACTATCATCCTGCTGGAGTCACAGACATCAAGAGAAAATATGAAGGACGGGTGGCTGTAGATGTTAAAGTTAATGGCGCTTCTGGGAAGGCTGACCTTAAGCTTTCCTCCATCACACTAGACGACAACAAGGAATTTGACTGTGAAGTTCAGATCCCCTCAGATGATGAGGGACAATCAATTGATGCAACACGTTTGACTGTTCTAGGTAATGGTTAACTGTGGTTTTTTTGGGTCATTGTTAACCAAACACAAAGTGTATGTTTTTATCTAAAATCTTGTGTGTGTGTGTGTGTGTGTATATATATGTATATATATATATATAATTTTTCTAAATAATAACAATCACAACATCCTCTTTATTTCTCCCTTCTTTTTTCCAAGTGGCTCCATCTCCCCCCATCTGTAGGGTACAAGGTAAAGCAGAATACGGCCAAAACATCAACATCACCTGTTACTCTGAGGAAGGGTCTCCTCCTCTTACTTACAAATGGGAGAGTCGTGATGTGAGGAACGCACTTCGTGCTCCATGGCCAAGAACCACTGACAGTAAGTGTGGTATTTATGTCTCAATAACGCTACAAAAAGATTAAGCATTACCTTTTAAATGTTTGTAAAACAAAGATGAAGATGTTAGAAAGAAATATACATTCTACCCAAATTGGTTTATTATTGAACTTTTGTGAAATGTTTTCTTTCTTGTGAAATTTTCACTCCTAATCGATGAGTCAGGGTCCAACGTCCAAAGATGCTATTTGGTTACTGTTTGTATTGCAATGTGCTGAACACTTTATTCCAATTTTTTAAATGATATATTATGACAACTTTTTAGCACTGTTTGTAATGATCATAATGCTGCAATACAATAAGAATAGTCTCTGAGCAAATGTGTTTTACACCAGTTCATATGTTCTCTGTATGGAGAGCATCAATAGTTTCATAAAGATTTCAAGGTGAGCTGATGGATAAAGCTCTGTAGCTTTCTGGAGCACACTGTGTATATATTGCTGCACAGCATATCCAATCCCACTCATCTTCACAATATTATCACAGCAAAAACATGCCATGATCCATTACTGAGTATATTATTATATTTTGAGTTCCTTGCACTCGTACAATACCGGGATATATTCTGCTAGTTGGATGAATTTTTACTTCTCTTTATGCACAGAGGTAAATTCTGTTAACAATTAATTATAACACTGACCCTAATAAACAATTTATAAGAGAAATTACAATTGGATGTATTCACTAATTTATATGATGTCATTGATATTTTTGCATGAATATCGACAAAAAAACTCTCAAACTATTAAAGGAGAGAGACTCATGAACATGGACAAATGGAATTTTCACAAAAAAATGCATTTTTTTATTTGTGTTCTTTTGCATCAACAGATTAGTTTTGCATAAAAGAAAAACAAGAAAGATTTTTTTTTAAAAAAGTAAATATACACAAAATATACATCTAGTCTTTATTTCCAGACGGAGGCGTCCTTCGTCTTTATGACATCTCCAGGGAGACCTCAGGATACTACATCTGCACATCAAGCAACAGTGTCTCCTCTGCTACCTGCAGCATCCCCCTTGCAGTCTTTCCGCGTAAAGATAACCTTAAAGCAGCCTTTAATTGTTTTTATACGTGCATAATCTTTGTAACAAACTGTAATGTGCATCTGTGTCTCTTCTTGTCTTCCTGCAATCCTGAAGCTGGCATGAAGGTCGACTCGACTGCAGGACTCCAGACTATTCTCAATCTTTTCTGTGAAAAAGACGTGACAGGAGTTGCACCAGGCAATAATACAGCAATGGAGGGCTCAGATCCAAAAGAAGGAAAAGGTAAAAGCCTTTCAGACAGATGTTAAAGATGTTTTTAAGCGTAGACTGCAACTGTGTTTTGTGCCTCAGACTGAAGTCTTGACTGATGCAGCAGCAATCGTAAACCTCCTTCTACACCTCCTGGACAGCATGGGGTCACCTTAGAGGTACAGTAGTTTGAGCTTTAAGTGTAAAAATCAATAAATTTTAAAATTGCTACAGAAAATAAAGCATTTTGGGCTCAGTCATGTGTGCCTTTGTCAGATGATCAGCCATGAAGTGTAACAATTTCTATATTCTACGCTAGTAACTGATTTTCTATAACTATCATGCAATCTTAAAAAGTGGCTTATAATTAAAACAACATTATTAAATGCTGTTCTTTACTCATTCTGGGCTCTTTTAATCTTACAGATTCAGTCTGTGAGGCCTTAAGAAGTGTATTTATAGAAACATAATTCTTCAACATTTTGTTTTTTGGGCTTTAGTTCTGCATGTTGTCACATATATGCCCAATCTTTTATTCCTAATAACTCAAAATTATGTCTGCCGAACCTTCAGCATTTTCCACAAATAAATCCTAAATGTATTTGACTTTTAAATGTTCTGTGATTTTTATATTACATATGGTATTTTCTTTGACATTAGCACTATGTAACATCTGATGTCTACTTAGCCAAACTGTTCCTGTTTTCTCTTTAATTACATGAAACATGGCTACAGCATCATATGAGGAATGAATAAAGATTTATTAAAAACTTTGTAGTGTATTGTGCTTTTCATCAGCCCACAAGAACTCCCTATTAACTCAGCAGTGAACTAAAACTGTGTTCAATTAAAGTTTCACAATGTCAACTAAAAGCCATAATATATTCCTTCAGCCCTCTTAGCTTTGCCTTCACACTTTCTACAGACTGTAGCACATTTTGACGCAATGGCTGGAGTTTGTAGCAAACTGTCAGCTGGTCTTTGGTTTAGATAAGAGGTCACAGATTTGCGGACTGCAGTCCGGATCCGGACCCACTTGCTGGCTAATGATTGCTGGCTTGTGATTTAAAACATTTATAAATTACTGCAGTGCATCTTGTCCGAAGACATTGCCTAATTTCACTTGCGCCGCTTCTCCTGTTAATATGGTAAAGCACTCCGGAGTGTCCGGCACCAGGCTACACTTGATATAAATTGAGCCAATGAGCTGTATCAGTCTGGGTTGCTGCTGCGAGCAACTTTTAGACACAGCAGGCAAACCTGTGGCAATCCAGGCTCACGATTGAGCACCTTGATATGCACTTGAGAATGACTTTGTCGCCAATCAAACACAGGTTTAAAAGCCTTGCAGGGCAGCCTAAAGCCCACTTCTCTCATCAAGCCATACAAAAGAAAAAGAAAANCACTAATTTCAGGATTTGAATCTACTATTGTGGTTAACCTGCCTGTAGAAATCATAAAGACTTAAGTGGAAACAAACTCATGTCTTGGTGCATTGTGTGATTTTTTGAATGTACATCTATTGCAATTTACAGTAGCCAGTGGGGTGGCCAGGGCATGGCACAGGTGCCACTGGGTCTGGGAAGTCTCGGCTCTATCCCCAAATGATTTTTACCAATCCCTGGATCTTTTTTTTTCATCCAGGAAATAAGAAATTAACTGAGCCACCCTTTGATTTTAAATTTTATGAAGTTTTGTAATTTCCTAGTTCCATTAAATGTAACACAAAGATCCAAGAATAGTTTGTATGGAAGCAGGCATGTTTTATTGGCTATAAGCATTGATATTATTTAATGTTGTCACAGAGGAAAGTTCAAATTTTAAAGAAAGGAAGAAGATAATTCTTCTCTGGTGGCTGAATGAGGAGAAAGGGCCATCATGGAACAGATGAAGAAGTGGTTTAAATCTGGGATGTTTTCAAAATTATGTGAATATCAGGCAGCTCATTCATGATGAAATGATGATTTCAATCTTGAAATGGACCAAACTTAACTTGTAGAAGTAGAAAACAGCTGTTTCCCACATTTTCAAAGCCTTTGATCAGGGTTGAAAGTATGGTCTGGTACTGTGTTCCTGTAAAGTTGGGTGGCATCCAGTACCAGGAAGACCTGCTGCCTGTTGTTTTGAGATGCCTCCTTCAGCGTTACCTGATCGCAGTGAGATGGTTGCAATGTGTTTAGACCTCGCATATGCTTTTCAAAAGGTGTGTGGTGTGTGTTAAACTTTGAGAAACCGCTCTTTGATCTGTCTTTGCACTCTTATCTTTGTCTGCCTCATGCTGCGCTCAGTAGCTCGTTGCTCCCTCATCATCTTCTAAACAGATTTAACCATGAAACTCTAGTTTTGGTTAATAAAGATTTAAGATCACTCTTCTGTTCTGCATTTGCCACACCTAAAGTTCTCTTTAGTGGCATCAGCTTCAGTATGACTAAAAGGGAAAAAAAATCTAGATTAGTCAGCCCTGAATATTTATTTTATCAGTTACTCTTTTTCTCACATAATCACAATGGAGAAGCTAGAGGCTGGAAATCAAAAATTAAGTATAACTTCTTATTTGTTGGTTATATGGGTCTTTATTTTTCAAGATGTATGCAGGATGTAAGGAAACAATACTAGCCATTAACTTTTTTCATATAGTACTAGCAAGAAATTTAAAATTTAAAATTGCTTTCTTTCAAGAGTGACAAT